GGTCTTCAATGAGCGTCGTATTCCCTCGCTGCACGGTGGCCGAGTTGTATGCGACTTGTCCAAGGCGTACGTTCAGAAGTCAGATATCAGCCGCATTTATACGCGGAGCGGATGCGATCATGCTTGCAATGGTCAAGAATACGAGGCGCGCAACCGGCCTTTCAACCTTCGGCCATCGCTTCTGTTCTCCGCCGGTGGCTGCACGGTGCGAAAACCCGCTAGGACGCCGGACACCCACGCGATCTTTACGCGAGTCTTGTCCTTCACGCGCCACCAACAGATGCCGCAGGACTCTCAGCCTGAAGGTGGCGGTCGCGTGTCGGTTTGCACGCGACCGTCGTGACAATACGCCGAGAATGTCGAAGGCACGCTGTCCGACATGGTCGCTCTGTAGGTCAATCGTCGCTACCGTCCAACCGCTCCTCAGCACATCACTGCCAGAACACGACACAACGGTCAGTCGCGCGTTGGAAGTCGCGCGTGTGATTCTCGCGAGGATGTCGAGGAGGCACGCGCTGCGGGACCTGGGCCTGAACGATCTCGATGCCGGATTGACAGGGCCGAGAGCTGAGATAGGATATTAGATACCAGGGGAACGTGACTTCGCGCGAGACTCGCTCCTTATTGTCTTCCGTTTTCCGTCGAACGTCGACAGAACGCCTGGTCGCGTACGTGAGCAGGGCTAGGATCGTCGAATTCCACGGCTAAGTGCTTTGAGCTTAGAACTCACGGCCTGGTGTGCTGGAGCTGGGGCGTATGACGGTCTGAACCTGTGCCTATACTTATTGTCAATGTCGCGGCGTTGCGGCCGGTGCGCGGCCGAAAAACAAAAGGAAATGGTCCGGGACTCGGAGGTGGGGCGCGACGATGCCGCGGGGCGGGATCAGCAGGCGCGCGGAACATGGGCGGGCGAGGGAGTGCGCCTCGCCTTGGTCCGCATCCGTCTTGTACCCTCTGCGGAGATGGCTTCCCTGTATTCCTCCTTCGTGCCTGCCACCACTAAACCTCCTTCTTAGCCCCGCCCCAGTCCAGGCCGCCCACCCACGCCCCCACCCCGCCCGACCGCCCGCCTGCGACGCGCCCCTTCGCCCTCGTCACAAACACGCCCTAGCCGAGCTGGCCCCAGCCATCTGTCACAGAGACCCACCCCGAGCGCGTATCGCTGTCTCTTCTGCCCACCACCATCTCTTCCTTCACCCCCCTCCACCGCCTGGGCGTCGGGGTTCAACACGAACCTTGCGCCTTGATCACCACCACATCGCCGCCCACTCCCCCACCCACAAGGACCGCCAGGCGATGGGCAGCATCCGCGTCCCCAACTTCCCGGCCTTCTGCTGCCCCCAATTCGAGCTGCGCTGCAGCTCCCACTGCCGCGCCGTCTCGCAGCAGGCGGAAAAGTGGGCCCTTTCGACGTCGCTCTTCCTCGACGCCCAAGAGGAGGCTCGCCTACCAGGAGCCCGCATCGGCCTCCTCGCGTCGCTCTGCTTCCCCGCGGCCGACCTCGGGCAGCTGCTCGCCATCACCAAGTTCCTCATCATCATGCAGCACTGGGTCGACCGTCCGCCGTCGTTGTATGCGGACGAGGAGATCTTTGACCCGTGAGTGTCCCCGTTGCCCGTCGTTCTTTCCTCCGACCCCACACCTGTGCTTCCTCTTCTCCGTGGCCCCGTCACCGCATCCGTTGCCTTCCTTTGTTTCACTCCGCGGCGAGGAGGTGGTTTTGTGTGTGTGGATGGCGATCTCGTCCTTCGCGGCGGCCTCGTGGCCCTCGCCTCTCTCGTTCAGCGACGTGCGAGGTGGGACACCGAAGTCTTTGGTTCGGCTCCGTGCTCTTTCGCGCCCTCCACGAGGCCGTTCCAAACGGTTTATCTCATCGTTTCCATGCACTGTATGCGTCTCCTAGCACCCGTCTTTGGGCTGCCGTCGCCAGAAGTGCTGCAGCCCTACTTTCGGGCGCCTATAGGCGGTCGCGTGATCGCGGGCGGCGAACACGCGAACCGTCGTCTTCCCCGTTCCCTTTGTGGTGCTTGAGTCAAGCCGAGTCTTAACCCACCTTCCTCTTCCAGCATCTGGGCCAAATCTTTCCGTCCGACGACGCGGCGCGACTGGCACAAACGCTTTCAACGACACCTGGCCGCCTTCCGGTTGGGTCAAGCGATCACCGCGCGCGACGTCTCGGAGCACATCGTCCCGGATCTCGAGTCGTACATCACGACACGGCGCGACGCGTCCGGCGCGAAGCTGTTGCTCGATTTGATCATATACGCGGGCGGCCTCAGCGTTCCTCAGCAAGTTTACGAACACCCCGCCTTGCGACGATTACGACAAGATGCTGCGGACATCATTGCTTGGTCGACAGTGAGTTCTTTTTTGATTCATGTGGCCCGCCCGTCCGCCCGTCTAGGTTCAGGCACCGTCCTCGATGGCAAACTTACATGCGCGCACAGGATATTGCCGCTTACACACGCGGTCCGCACGCATGCAATCTCGTCACGGTTGTCATGAACGAACACCGCTTCGCGCCGCAGGGTGCGATTCATTTTGCCGGCAACCTCGTCAAGGACACCGTCGGGCACTTCCTCGCCAATGAAGCATCATTGGCGGAGTATGACTTTGGCGACTGGGACCTGGAGACGCGGGCCTACGTGCGTGGGATGCGGGACTGTGTCGTGGGCACGATGCATTGGATGTACGAGACCGACCGTTTCTTTGGAGACGCGGGCGAGGACGTCAAGAGCTCGGGATGGGCGTTCGTCCAGCCCGCATAGCGTTCGTCCGTCTCTCCGGACTCTGGACCCCCTTGTTCCTCGCGCCTCACGCCACGTTCGCCGCTCCTCGTCCACCGTCCCTCACGCTTTGCCTTTGTCGTACGTCGCCCCACCCTGCTCCCCACCCGCCGCATCATTCGCGTTTCTTGTACATGCATATTTTCCCCTGGCGTCTCTCAAGCATCGAAGTTCGTCCGCACCATGCTCCGGCCCGCTTTCACCGCCCTGTCGTTCTCTTCCACGCCACCTCGGACTCGCCGCACCCCGACATCATGCCTCGTACCCTACCCCCGCATCGTCTCGCCGCTTCCCCGCCCCCTTCCACGCATCGTCTAACCATGTCGGACACTCGCCATGCCTTCGTTCGGTCTCGTATACCATATAGGATGGGAACCCCCGCCACGCCACGCCGCTCTCCCGGATCAGGAGCATATTTAGATTACAAGCAAACGCATCCCCCGCCCGCACCGCTACCGTCTGTCTGCATATACCACCCCGCCCATACGCTACTCACCACCGCTTTCGTTCCCCCGCCCTGCCCACTACACTATTGTATATCGTCCTGTCCCCGCCCCCGTGTCCAAAAGAACATTACGAGCGCTCGCGCACCCCCCACCTAGTCGTCGGCCGCGTCCCGTCTCCCGTATACGTATCCAGTACAACCCCGCCCCGTGTCTGTTGCGCCCGCAGCTACTAGCCATTGTCTATTGTCTCACTAGTCCCCCCCCTCTTCGTGTTCATCCCTCCCCCCGTTCCCCTCCTCGCTCTCATCGATCGCAGTAGCACCCCTCGCTCGGAATCTCATTGGTTCGATTGCGATCGCGAGAACCCCCGCTGGACGCCTGGCGGGCCACGATGCGCGCGCACGTAAACGCAGCTCCGCGCGAAACATGCTTGTGGTTGATGAGACCCTACATAATAGGGCGGTGCATCCCTGGCCCAGGTTCGTGCGTGTACAGTCGCGCCCGCGGCCCCCGAGATACACGAACCACGGGCCCGCGGACTCGGACTCGGCGTCCTCGTACACTGGACCGCGCCGCTCTGTCCGGATCCTTTGCCACTGCCCTTACATAGGACGTTCCTTCGCGGCAACGAGCGCAGCCTTCGCTGGATCGCAGCTCCCCGGGGACGCAGCGCCGAACGCGGCGATGACGGCGCTGTGGACGGTACTAGGTGGAGAGGGAGGGCAGGGCGGAGGGTAGCGACGATGTTGTTTGGACGAATCCAGCAACGATCTCAGGCCCGCCGGGGTTGGCGGGGAGCCCATGACTGGCAACCGCGGGATGCAGGTGTCGGTTCGCAGTTGGGGAAAAGGGCGTGCTTTCGCGGAGCTAAAGGGGTCCCGTCATCATCGCCGGCGAAAAGAGAACGAGGTCGAAGTTGGATTCACAGGAAGGGCACTAGGATGTTCAATCAAAGCACCGTCCATTCGCCAGTGCGGCCTTGTGTGGATCGTGACCAGGACGGAGACTGGCGGTGGACAACTGAGATATGCGGACCTCGTCATAGTTCGAGGTCAACCCGCCCGAGGTTACAGCTTCCGACTTGCCAGTCACGATATCTAAATCGAGCAACACTTGCCCCGGTCCGAGCGCGCAGGCACATATATACTTACCGTCCGACTCGGTGGACGTGAGACGGGCCGGAAAGAAGCCATCCCGAGCCCGCACAACCACAGGCGAAACGCACAGGTTTCGGGCGGGCTTCATCAGCAAAAGGTGTTTTCCACGGTAGCGCCCGATAGCACGCGACACCGCCATATCGGGACAGGTCGTCTATTGTCTGCACGACAAATGATGGTAGCAGAACGGCAGCAGCTGACATTCATTCGTCTTTGCTATGAAATTTGATCGCATTTTGTGGCCGCATACAGGATATGATGTATTTACTACCGGCACTAGTAGCTTAAACAGAAAGCTGTAGTCGATGACCGTCTATGATCATGCGCTCCTTCAAGGGTGAATCATGGGACGCGTGGGGTGCATAAGAGGTTCGCATTGAGCTATACATTCGATTTGCAAGGACGCGAACAGTGTGCGCGGCAGAGAACACGGTGCGCGCGAGGATGGACGGACGTCGGCGCGGGCGCCTGTTCAATCGCTTGCGGGCCGCGGAGTCCTCCGAAGCTGTCCGGCGACGGCGACGGCGAGTCCCACCTTGCCTCCTCCCATCCTCCTCTGTCCCCCTAGTTTGTTCTTGACGCTTCTTCTTTTTCGCTTCTCTGCGGCATCTCGTCGTGCTATGAAAATCCTCTTCTTCATCAGAATGTCTGCTTCTAAAGTGGGACACGCGATCCAAACACGGAACATCGGCTCGTGTCCTTGCTCATTTGAGCATTGTTTTCCATTAGGTGCGCATTTCATCTCCCCCTTGCGTTCCTTGAAGCGACCCAGTTCCCAGACAGCGAGGCGGGAGCAAATAGTTCATTGCACATAGAACGAAGTCCTCACTCTCGCGGTGGCAGAATATGCGCGGGAGCAAAACCATGACACTCACCTGGAGGACCTCGACCTTCCGCACGACGCTCACATGCGAGCGCGAGCTCTTGAAATTTACAGGAGAAATGTAGCATCGCACGGCGGGGTCGTTTGGGCATCGCAACCTGGCTCGTCCTACGCCCAGCGCGTGGTCCGTGCTCGTGAGGCCAGTGCTCATGGGTATTCCAAGGTGCGCTGGTCACCCCCTCTCATGGTGGACGTCTAAATCATACCGTGTCGGGATATCTCGCTTGCCCTAGGTGCCCCGATAGGGCGGCCAAGTATACGCATGCGCCCGTTGTAGCCATGTGCGCTTCAGCAACGTCCAGGGTTCCTGGGGGGAGCGTGGTACGTCGACGCTTTTATCCGCTTCTATACGTACCGCGAGCTATAGCGAGGTCGCACCTCGCCGTCACCGCGACGCTCGCTCAGGGCATGCCGCTTTTCATTCGCACGCATGGTTATGTGGGTCATGTCCGACCGTAGAATCCCGCGCTCTTATCGAATGATGTGCGGGGTGAACACCTGTACGTCTATCCTCTCTGTGTTTCTACGTCCCTGATGCCGGCTGCCAGACATGCTATTCAATGCACTCTTTGTCAAATTCCATTCTCTCCGCAAAGTTAGGCCTCCCGCTGTGGCAACTGTAGGCATACAATACGTAATTGAAGCTGCTCAACAACGTCGATTTCGAGCTCGCCAAGCAGGTCGTTCAGAACGTCGGCGAGCCCGTCTCGACTCTCCTCTAAACCCGCGTGATCCAACGCCGGACCCTCTTTCCGCGAAGCTCTCCCAGCTCGCCACCTTCACCGCGAGCCAACGATCACGCCGCATTGCGATTCTTGTCGTCGATGACTTCAACCATGCGTGGGTTGACGGCACCCCCACTGCGCTCAAGGCCGGAATGGTGACCATGTGGATCGTCGGGCCAGGCTGGAGGCCTGTGGTACCCCGCGGACCACCACTATGGGGGTCAGCGAAGCGCTCTGTTCGACGCCATCGTCGTCGCGAGCAGCGCGGCAAACGCCCGCACTGGGCACTGGGCGAGGGCAGTGAGTGGGTCGAGAGTTAAGTCAAGATATATATCGCTGGGGAGACTTACTAATATGGAGGTCCGTGTTGGTAGCGACATTCTGAAGTCCAAAGGTTGCTTACGGTGATTTCTTGCTAATTGTTGTGACTCGATGCGGCGGCGCCGCAGTGGCGTCCCGCTTTGACCTCCTCTCGGTTGTTCCGAGACATGGACGCGTGTGCAGGCATGCGCGCCTATTACTGGACTCAACCCGCGACCACCATCATCCCCCAAGTGCGATGTGCCACTCACGCTCGCGCACGACCATGTATCAAGACGTGGTGAGCTCCTCATCATTATTTGCTCCCAGCATCTCGTTCACCGTACCCACACTTTCGACATCGACATGGCTCCTCTCATGTCAGACGTCTCGTCGCCCTCACGGCCGCCACTCTGCGTCCTAGGTTCCACCTCCACGAAGCCAACACGACCACCCTCTCTCTACATTTCCGCATCTGCGGACTCGACATGAGTCACGAGGTGTGGTTCGCAACGGGGTGAGCTCGGTGCACCTCCTGAACGCGAGGCTTCAAGTTATGGCGCTTATAGGGGCGGGTCGGTCACATGTGATGAGCCACCGTCCACACGAGGTGTGAACTTTGGTTAAAATATCCCCTTCCGCCTCTTCTCCTCCTCTTCACACTGATTCCTCAGCCTTGCCGACAGTGTCAACGACTCAACGTTGCTTCCATCGGTAACCACTGACCTATCACCAATTCGTGTGCCCTCGATCGACTCGCTGTACTCGCAAGCAGGGTGGTCTCAGTGGCCCGGACCTCCTGCTCATCGCGCGCCCCGACATGATAATCTCTCACAACTACGGCATCTTCATCAGGACGAGGGCATGATCGCCCTCCACGGGTCCTTTCTCATCGACTCTATGAAGGTATCCTTAGGTGCGTCCGTATTGGAGCAGCATACGTTCGACGGCTGATCGTGCGTTCGGTGGGGCCGGACAAGCAATCACGATCAATAACCTCCCCATCAACCGCTCGGTCGAGGAGACGATCCGGCTCGTGAAGGCGTTCCAGTTCACCCAGTGGATGCGTCTCTCTTCCTCCGCGTTCCCTGTCGCCGCTCCCGCTGACCTCTCCTTCAGCCTCACACCCCCTTCCCCTCCCCCGTTTGCGACGCAGCCGCAGGAAGAGCATGGTGAGGAGTGAGGGAGCGAAGACAATGAAGACGCGAGCATCTACGCTCAAGGCGACCACCTCCCTGCCCCCAACCAATTAACCCTTTCGCGCCCATGGTGCCCGACCTGTCTATCCCGCCGCACTCAACCCACCTTTCTGCGCTCTCCACACTGATTCCTCTATCAGGTAAGCAATCTCTAGATGCGAATTCTCTACAGGCCGTTACTGACCACTTCGATAGTACTCACGATAGGGAACACTTCCTTCAATTCGGGGAGATGTGCTGGTTGAGAGGCTTCAAGTACTCGGCTACATCACGATTCACCGACTACGTAAGTTCTTTGTTCTGCTAATGTGTGCGTTGTGTAGAATACCCGCTGTTTCATATTTACCCCAAATGGATTATTGCGCGATTGAACCATATATGTGTGATTAGATGCGAGCCCCAGTGTACGACGGAAGACGATAATCTTCCGCAGGGTGCTGTAGGTTCTCTGTCATCTCCTCCGCTAACTCTGACCTCTTATCGTGTAGCGCTATCATCTCATGCGCCACAGATGACCGATATACGGTCGCGCGCGCACTCAGACCTGATAGCCCTGCCCGCGAGAATCGATCATCAGTTGATAGCGGAAGAAGCAGACGGCCGTACAATACGGGATACTGCATTCTTTGGATACTAATCTACCTTCTATTGTCTTCGCTAGCACTAACTACCGTACGCTACAAATGACCCAGTGCACGATCATACGCTATCGTTTCTGCACCTACTTTGCTGATGTTGCGCGGCCTATGACCAACCACCGTGGTCTGTTACTTACTACTTATCTGATCTTCTCATCCGGATTCCCGGGGACATGCAGCACTCACAGTACTCACCTAGAAGATCTACACATCTGGCAGAGTTCTTCAGGTAACAATAGCGCTGCATTGGAGGCATATACTTTGTTACATGTTGGTGTAAGCGTTGCAGCTGTATGCATGATACGTGCACGTGGTGGTTGGATGGGCATTTATGGGAAGGTCGGTGGGAAATAGACGCTTCGATTATGTCATCAGGTTACCGGCGTTTTTCTGCTCGGGCCCGCTCGCCGCAGCTACGCTCCCGTCGACCTGGACCAACGACCCATGTTCCTGATCCAGTGCCTGCCTCGCATTGGCCCTAGTTCCACAATTCCTGTTCACGACACTGACGCAAACGCAATGCTGCCTGGTAAGAACTTATTCGGGCTTTCATCACTATTACTTACCTCGCCGTCCACAGACTGACGACACGTCCATTCACTCTATGCAAGCACCCCGGAACCCGCGTTTTTTTACCCTCAACTTCTGCGGCGATATTTACTTGATCGTAGGTGTGGATCCTCGTGCCTGACCTCTGTATCCGTGTTGCCATATCCTTAATAAAGAAGCAGCTGTCGCGTTGGGAATCCTTGACGCAAGCGCAAAGACCTTACCATGGTTCTCGAACCCGTCTCGCACTCTTTACCGCGGTCAGCACCTCCGCTCGACAAAGAAGCCCTGTTCCAGCGACCAAGCCCCTGACATCCATGAAGACCGTCGTCCTGACCACTTTGTACTGTGCACGGGCCGCGAATGGGTGCTACGCAATGAGCCGTTCGTCTTGCGGTCAATGCGAGTGGTTTGTCGCATCTAGCGGCAGCTTTCGTCGAGGCCTGTGGCATATGTCGTTCGCGCGACCATGTCCCGCGTATATAAGCGGTGGGTAGACCACCATGTCTGCTTCGTCGACATCTCCGGACGCTCACCATGGCCCACCACCGTTCGTACGGCACGAGGCCTTTCGGGACTCCTTCCGAGCTGTAGGACTCCGCCCATTCTTTGAGCGAGAACGTGCGCTGACGTAGATCTGGACAGGTTCAAATGCGCCGCGCGCGGCGTTCTTGTCAATGTGCTGGCGGACCGGGTCAACAGCCCTCGCCGGGTGCGCGAACCGTGAGTGGGCACGTCACAGATCTAGAGCTCCAGGCGTCGAATAACGTAAAGATCTAGGGATCCGGAGTACGACCTCCTCTTCTCGGAGTTCATCGATCAGCAGCAGTTCGAGTCGCCGCCAACGACGCAAGTGCCTCCGAGGCCGGTCGCGATCGTGCTGAACCAAGAAGGCACGACGCCTATTGTTCCTGCAGCCCTCAGAGTCCATGCGCATGGGAGCGTCAGGGCCGGCCCGATTGTGGGGGAGGTCCACATGGGGGTGATGGGAAGCCCGAGCTCAGTGCTTGAGCCCGAAGTTCCTCGCCTGGACCCGTCGCCCCTCCAAGATCCGCCCTCGAACCCGCACCCAGAGGTCGAAGCCAACTCCGAACCACCCGTTCTCGACGAGATTCCGGACAAAGTCGAAGAGGTGGCTCCGAAACCCAAGAAGTACGTGCGCGCGGTGTACGTCAAGTCCCGCTCCTCCGCACCCATCGCCGGACCCGCCGCTGGGGAATTCCTCGAGCTCGCCTCCGAGACTTCTGCCGCTCTTCGGTCGGAAGGACCGAAGCCCAAGAAGAAGTACGTGCGCGCGGTGCACGTCAAGTCTCGCTCCTCCGCGCGCATCGCGCTCGCCTCCGGGCAGGCCCCTCCGCCCTCCGCCCTTGCCTCCGGTTCCGGTCAGCAGTCGACGCCTCCCACCGAGGTTGCAGTCAAGCGCCGTCCGCAGCCAGCGAAGAAGGCGATCCACGCGCAACGGTCCCAGATCATGACACGCTCGGCCGCGGCCGCGTCGCGGATCGTGGCCCGCGCGGAGACCCATCTCAAGGAGGCTGCCGGACGCCGGCGTGGGCGCAAGCTGTAGCCGTTGACCGCGACCTCGAAGGTCAGATCTCTCATCCCGTTTTCGGAGGGGACTTGTCTCCATCGCACGGTCTCTGCTTTCTTTTGATGCCTCGTACACTGTATCGTTACACTCCCTCCCTTCTCGCTTTCTGCGTCCCACACTCCCTGTACCTCTAGCATCTCTTTCTATGAATTCGTCACTGAGAAAATACAGATACATCTGCCATATTAGGCAGCCAGCGCCTCATCGGGGCCCGCTCTTCACTCATCCACCTCCACGTCCGCCGACCACGGCACCGCAATCCCCGCCTCCTCCACCAGCGTCGCCGCCCTGTGCTTCGCCAGCCCTATGACGTCGTTCCCCAGCAGCAGCCGCACAGGCGGCGCAGGGCTCGCGGAGAACCGGTACAGCGCGTCCGCGGCCTTGACGGGGTCCCCGCGCACCGGGTACGCCGGGTCCTTCTCCGTCCCCGCGAGGCTCGAGAGGATCGCTGCGCGCGACATGGCCGACGGGAGCGTGGGCTTGGTGTACGCGGGGTGCGCGGGGGTCTTGGTCATGCCGGTGGACACGGCGCTCGTGCGGAAACCACCGAGGGTGACCATCGTGATCTGCGAGTGCGCGTCAGCACAGAGCCAGGCCGGAGCGGAAGGGCAGGGTGGGACGTACGTGGATGTTCCACTCCGGGTCGATTTCGCCAGCGAGCGACTCCGTCAGGCCTTCGATTGCTGTCGTCGGAGAGACGCGAGTATGAGTACCTCTACCAACGACTCGACCAAACAAGGCGAGCCCCTCACCGTGCTTGCTCGCGGCGTAGAACCCGCAGCCCGGGTACCCGCTCAACGCGACCCCAGACGTGACCTGCAGGATCCGCCCGCCCGCCCCCGGGGGGTTGCGCTCGCGCAGGACGCGCACCGCGCTCTGCAGCACGTGCGCCGCGCCCCAGAAGTTCACCTCGAGCATCGCGCGCGCGACGTCGTCCGGCGTGCCCTCGACCTCCCCGAGGACGGACACGCCCGCGTTGCTCACGACGACGTCGATCCGGCCGAAGCGCGCGAGCGCGGCGTCGAACGCGGCCGAGACCGCCGCGGGGGAGGAGGCGACGTCGAGCGGGAGGACGAGGAGGTGGTCGGGGCCGTAGGCGGCTGAAAGGGAGGAGAGCGCGGCGGGGGTGCGGAGGGTGGCAACGACGGTGTCCCCGGCAGCGAGGGCGCGGCGGGTGAGCTCGAGGCCGAGGCCGGTGGAGGAGCCGGTGACTATGGGGGATGTCAGAGCGAAAACCTGAGTAGTTTTTGAAGTGCTCACTGAACCAGACGCGAGGACTTGTCGACATGGCTCAGGGGCTGAGTTGAGCGTGAAGGTACAGGTTGAACCGTGTTCGATTGACCACTGGAAGGAAAGTGCCGTGGTCTTATATACATCCTTCTCATTTGTGATTGAAATCCGCACACAGCTGTTATGTGATCACGAATACGAACCTGGGGTGTATGTTCTGGCGTAAACCCGCCCGAACTTGTACTAGTCGCAATTTCAAAGCGTGCAGATTTGAATTCCCGTATCGAGCAGCAGTTACGCATGCCGCCCGAGCCAAGCAGAAGCGCCTCGGACGGAAGCTCCCGCTGATCCCTGCTCAGGCAAGAATTTGAATGATGACTCGTTGGGCAGACCTCGGGCGGGTCTCACGTCATGCAGTGGTGTCTTCATCCCTAGCGAATTTGATCAACCGCGGATTCGAGGGCTCCTAGCGGAGTACCTACCTGAGTAATATGCCGATCCGATGGGTGCTCCCGGAGACGTTTCAAAGATTCGTCATACATATGTTTTCAAGTGGTTGTTCTTGGAATGAAGTTGCGCGCAGGTGGTGGTGCGAGGTAAAGGAGAACGTCGCCCCTGAAGATAAGATTAGATAGCCCGCCACAGACTGCCAGGCGCTTCGCGGCTGGCTTCTTTTGTTCACCCCTAGTAGCTACATATTAGCTCAACTTCTGCCAAATAATACCCACCGGAAACCTCACTGGTGACACTGCCGCTATGCATACCTGGCCGCCACAACACATGCAAGTGCTTTTATTCCCACATCAGTACATGTATGGATAGGAGGTACTTATATGTGCCCCCCTCAATTCGCGGTATACTCACTCAACTTGCTGCTACCTTTTCTACCCTCAACACGACCAGCGAGTTTTTTGCGCTCGCGACCGCGGTACCCACTCCGCTCTGTCTCCAACTACTGTCACAACCCTTGACACCGCTCAACCTGCACATTTTGCTCTCTCCTTGGCAAGTGAGAATCTCTCATATTAGTCCATGGTTTTTGGCGTTCATGGCACTGCATATCGATCCTCATCGGGATATCCCCCCACAGCCCAGCAATGTACGTTCATCATCCCCGGAAAATCATCAATATTCCCCCTGAGGTTCTCATGGAGGTCTTCGAAACCTACTATGCGACGACAGGCTGAGGATACGGGGGACCTGCGGTTTACCGTATCCAAGCGCGCGCTACTACGCACCACTGCCGAATGGACCAGTATCCTTGGTGTCTGCAAGACTTGGCAAGCCATCGCGCACAAGACGTTCGGCCTTTGGAGATCATCCGCCCTCCGTGGGAACGCGGAATGGCCTATGGTGTGTTTTTTGCGCTCTGGCTGTTGCGGTCGCGCGCGCGAGATCGCGGGAGCGCGGGCGAGGTCGAGCGGGCGCGGACAAGGGTAGGCGCACGTGCGCGGGAGAGGGTGTCGATTAGGCGGGTACGGGTGGCGTAAGCGTGTAAGGACGGTAGTGTAGAAGCGCGAGTGTCCTCGTTGGCTCGCAGAGCGGGAGGGAAGGAAAGGCGGGGGATGACGAGGGAGCCTGAGGCAATCGCGTGCCGAGGCAGGGATGCGGAGGCGGGCATATAAACCATGTACACTAATTAGTGGCTGCGTGATCGTATGCTAAGACGTCCGTTGCGGGTGCGCGCCGATGCTCGTAAACGGATAGGCGGAGCAGGCCATAACACTGGCTCTAGCCCTGCGCGAGTATTGGACATCTACGTCTTCCTCGACGCAAGAAAGACCCCTCCGTTCACCTTTCACGAGACCCTCACGATACACGCCTCCCACATCAACTCGCTTACCTTCATATATGCGTCCCCCCTCGTACGTTGGTACCATCCCCGTGTCGTTGACCCTTGGGACCGGTTTCAGCTGCAGCTGCTCTCTGGCGCCGTCGACGACTTTGGCGTACCAACGGTGTGCATTTACGACACTACCATCACTTTCGATGAGAGCCCATGCCCTTTCTCCTTTCTGGACACCGCAAGTTCAATTCAGTCCCTCTCGATGAACAACACCTCGCCTCCCTGGACTCGTTCAAACAACCTCCCGGCGTTCTGCTCCCAACTGCAGTTTCTGGAATTCGGGAGTTTCCGGCGTGGTAACACGCTCTATTGGCCGACAACATGGGCGGACGTCTTGACGCTCCTGGCCTCCTGCACAAGCCTCCGCTATCTTGGGCTGGAAGCTTTGCTCCTTGAGCCGTTCAGGGACCAAGACATTGGGATTCTACCATCTTCTCCCATATCTCGAGAGCATCTGGCTCCGCAGCGTAGATCGGGTCCACCCCACCCTTCTCCCACACCTGAAACTGCCGTCTCTCAACCGCGTCCACATGGTCGAGAACGTGTGTCTGGTGATCAACGAAGACATTTCATGCTTCCGCCACTCCTTTGCGCGCATGCTCGCCCCACCAGGCGAGAGCAGCAGCATCCGCGACGTCTTCCCTCCCACTTGCGGACGTCGACCACCTGCTCATCCAACGCTCCAACGACGCGCACTCCATCGAACTCTTCAAACTCCCGGAAGGCCTGCCCCGGATATCCCTGCGCATGGCCCGGGAAGGCCTCGACGCGACCCGACGCGCGTTCCACAGAAACCTCTCCCCCGCCCTGCGCTCCATCGCGCGCGTCGCCCCCGGGCTCCCGCTCACCGCCCTCCTCCTCGACCTCCCGCACGCGCTCCGCGTGCGCCCGGACGCCTGGGGCGCGCTCCTCCGCGCGCTCCCGCTCCTGCGGACGCTCGTCCTCGGGCGCGACGCGTCCGCCGCCGTCGCGCCGCTCGCGGAGGACGACGCGCTGTGCGCGTAGCTCCGTCTCGTCGGCGTCGGGTCTCCCGTGGGGTGCATCGAGGGGGACGAGGTGCTCCTCAGCACGCTCGCGCGGCTCGTCGCGCGTCGCCCGGGCGCGCTCGAGATCCGACTCCGCCTCGCGTACGCGAACGCGGTCTCGCGCGCGGTCGTTCAAGCACACGGCCGTGTATGGCGCCCGGCGTGGGGACGCGCTGTTTGGAGGTGGGGATCGCGGTAAGTCACGGGCGGTGTGTGATGGTGCTGACGTATCATGTACGACGGCAACGAATCAAGATGACGACGGGTCCGCCATAGAAGACGAGGACGGTTGTGCCAAAGCAGAAGAAGCCGACGGTGGTGCCAAAGCAGATTGCAGGTAGGGTGGGGGGCGGAAGAGGCGGAAAAGGTGAGCAGGTGGACCAGGAGGAGGGGCAGGAAGAGGAAGAGACGTCCCAGTCAGCTGGTGATGAGGCCTAGGCATAGGACAGAAACGAGTGGACGGAGAGCAACCTCGCGGGCGAGAACACAATCCACGATAATCGAATTTCAGTCTCTACTGAGCGCGCCCGGGCGGCGCGCATACCCCCTCGTGCTCCGTGAGCGGCGTGAAGATCGCGGACGGCGCGCGCACACAGACCTCGAGCAACGAAGAGAGCGACAGGCGGAGGACGAGCGTCATGAGCGGGACCCCGACTTGGACGGGCGCGATGAAGGCAGCCAAGGGGAAGAGCCCGCGGAACGTGCCAGGCCTCGTTTCGGTCCGCCGTCCATGATCATGATCACCGCGGCACGTGGGGTGGCGAACACGCGGGCCGCGGCCGGAGCCGAGGAAGACGATCGAGTCCAGACCGCGGTCCGGAGGGCGGGGAAGTCGTCGCGACGTTCGCAGCGACCCGCCGGGAGTTCTCGCGGAACGCATGCAGATCGAGAAAGCCACGTGCGATTTGTCGGTGCGTGAGCGCCGGAAGGGTCGGATCCGCAAGCGGAGGAGGAGGCGTTGACGTTGAGGCCTGGACTCGAGGGTGGGCGAGTTGGTGCGGCGTGTGGGCGAAGGATCTCTGGTCGCATGGCGGCAGGCGACGCACGTGTCGGATCCACCACCCGCCCTGTCCGAGGCACCGGGGCGCGAGAGGCACAAGGTGGGTCATTCCACGCCGGCGGGGACTCTGGAGTCTGGAGGTCGTTCCGTGTTGGTGCAGACCGAGGACGTTCATGATCCAGTCGACGGGGAAGCGCGACGGCGCACGAGCCGCCCCGCCGCAGACCACCACGTTGTCGTCGCGTGGTGAATCCTGAATGCAGTTCCGCCGCGGGAAGATCGGCAACGGTCTCGAAGCGCCTCGGTTCGCCTATGGGTCGCTGGAAGAGGGGATGTGAGCGGTGGAGGTCGCGCATGCATAGTGCCTATATGGAGAGAAGCAGGAATTCCAGCTATACTTATGCTTGTCATGTCTGAAGAATAGCAGCAACTCATCGTGCACGTATGAGCAGCGAAAGAGTGTATTGGACAGCTGCTACTGAATGTCACGGAAACATCATCTTGACAAATTACTGATGGTTGTAGAGAAACAAGCAAGCAATGAGGTGGAGATGTACATGCAGTGCGGTCGATGACCCGACGACGCGGTGTCGGATTGAATGGCTGGCGCCCGATACTTGGCGCCGATTTTCACGCCATCAGATTCATATCCAGATATTACGGTTCACGCTTTTGAAAGTTCCAAGCCACGACGCGACTAGATTACATCCGTTCGAAGGAGATCGTGTCATTACGACATACAAAAAAGTAGGGTATAGGAAAACTATGCAGGTATCGCTAGAGATATGGGTGGCGGTCTAAAATCCATCAGGTCCTGTCCTGTCCTGTCCATCGTACACACCCTCCGACCGCGAGGCTCAAACCGCGCTCTCGCCCCCCACGCTCACCACGTCCACGTCCCTCTCCTTCCACAGCGCGCTGCTCCCGCTGCTGCCCTCCAGAAACTCCTGCCCGCGATACGCGTACGCGTCGTCGCCGGGCGGCCCGCTCGCCCCCTTGGAGCGCAGCGCGCGCGACGCCTGAGGGGACCCCCTGCGCGGCCCGGCGGTGGACAGCGCGCGCCCGGTGCGCGCGGCGGACAGCCGGGCGGAGAAGTCGGAGAGCGTGTAGCCGAGGCCGACGCGTGTGATGATGAGCGTGAACGTGAGGCCCTGGGGGGTGCGCGCGGGTGAGGTCAGCGCCCGCGCTCGTCGGACCGAGAGGCGCACGCGGGAACACGGGCGGGGGTGGGGGGGCGCAGGGGAGGGGGGAGACACGCACGATGAGCGGCTGGAGGGCGTCGAGCGCGATGTACTGCCCGTTCGTGCGCGCGAGGTACGTGGCGAAGACGGCGAGGATCACGGCCGAGTACACCGCGGCGGACTGCACCACGGTCTCGACGATCTCCCAGCGCGAGGCGGCGGCGGCGGCGGGGCTGTCCCGCCGCAGCTGGCGGCTCGCCCAGAGGATGCGCGCGGAGATGAGGCCTGGGTTGGGTTCAGCGCGAGTCAGATCGCTGCCGAACGAGACGCGGAGCGGGACGCACCGGAGGCGAGGAGGTTGACGATGAGGGAGAGGATGAAGAAGGCGCGGAGCCAGGGCTGGAACGCGGGGTCGAAGATCGACGTCGGGCCCGTGGTCACCGCCATCTTGTAGACGGCGCCGAAGCCGGCCACTGTGCATACGATGGGGAGGCAGAATGTGAAAAGACGCAGGGACACTTACCGGCGGTGGTGAGGATGAGCGCGCCAGGCAAGAGGACGACGCGCACGTCGCGGGCCCAGATAACGTACAGGCGGAAGACCATGAACGCGTCGCCGACGAGGGTGTTGGCGATGTAGACCGCCATCTTCGCGAGGAAGGTAGGGTTGGATATGCGGAGAAAGAAGTTGAGGGGGCCGTCGGGACTGGTGTTCTCGATGATGAACGCGACGGTCACGCGCTGGATGTCGAGGCAGAGGTGCTGCCGTGCATGCAGTCGCTTCAGATGCGGCCAAGACGCGATGGAGAGAGCGACGAACGAACCACGGCGGAAAGCAGCCACATGAGGATGGAGGTGAGGATGAGGATCCTATTGAGACGCGTGCGCGCCTGCCTGCGCTCCCGGGAGAAGAGGATCCATACGGAGAGCGCGCAGAGGATGGTGAAGACACCAAAGACGACGGACTCGATGAAGAGCGCGATGAGCTGCGCGAGGAGGTGAGCGGTGTGCGCGAGGCGGGGCGGGGGTGGGGTGGAAGGGGAGACTCACTTCAGCCCGGGCGAGCGGGAACTGGCTGCCGGAGCTGTCCATCGAGCATCGTCCAAGACGCGCGAGCGAGGAGGCAGGCGGGGGTGGTGGGGGAGGCGGCGAGCGAGGGCGGACGGGCGTGGAGGAGGAGCTTATGACCGACGTCCGGGGCGATCTCGTTGGCGGCTGCAAATCGTGTGAACCCTCTCGCTTCGCGGCATCAATATCGACGCCGCTCGACTGGATCCGGATAAATTGCCACCCTCCATGGCGCACAGACGGTGATGGGCGCCGGGCTCAGCCGGGTGCCTGCCCTCCGTCCTCCAAACGGCGACATATCCACTCGCCCGCGAGAGCTTGAGCTTGAGCCTGCGCGGACGCTCCTCTGCAACGGCGCAGGTCGCATGTCGCCCACATGCACACCCCGCAGCGCCGCGTGTTCGCGATCTCGGGGGACGAGCACGCGGACACGCGCTCCGCGGTGAGCTCGGATGGAAACCGTCGTCGGGGACCGAGGAGCCGGTCCGCCCTCGCCGGCCTCTCCCGCGTGAATTCCCATCGCCAAACAGTGGATCCTCCTGTGGAAGGGTGAATCGCATGATGGATGTATACAACCACCTGGGTGCCTCTGACCTCACGACATACGACGCCGGTCCTGTGGAAGACATGTCCGGTTGACCTCTTACAGCAGACACATGTGCCGCGCTCACACGTACGTACACGCAAGGTTCGCTCACGACATGCGCAGATTATCAAGTCCTCCGCGACGCCGACCTTCTTCGAAGCGGAGCAGACTCGTCGAGTGCACGCTGTCCGTTCGCCGCCGTTCGGCGGACTGCTGCGAGCACTCGGCACTGTCGAACGTGTCAGTGCGGGAAGGGAGCCCCGCGAAGATCCCCAAACCCAAAGACTATCAGACAGACGGTTGGCCCACTAGCCAAGCGCAGCTGGCAGCCGTGTTCGAAAGCTCTTCAGAAGTGCCGTCGCCAGGCACATCCTGACTGACCAGCACACCCCTGGAGGCTGGCGTGGCATACTACGTCGTCAATCCGTCCTTATTTCAGCGTCTTGTGTCGAACAAGAGACATGTACAGCGCACCGGATGCTATCACCGGTGTTACTAGAAAATCGGTTGGCGGTACACCATGGGGTCTCAGAGAAGCAGTCTAAGTCGCTCTTCGGAGCCAGGTCCGAGATGTTTATCCACTAGCTCATCTTCTGAGATCGTGCGCATGGACACACCGATGCATCATGGTTGGGCCTTGGCAGGCCTGAGTGATGAATCTAAGGGAAAGGTGTTTAGATAAGATAAGATTGAATGAGAGAAAGCTCAAGTGAACGGTCGACAGCTCAACATCAGCTACTTATTGGTACGTGAAGGTCGATCCAAAGGCGCATGAACACATTTTTAAACGAGAAAGAAAGAAAGATCGACAGACCTTTGGTTCGTGGAGACAGCCTCCTCACCATCATATCGACATTGTATGCGGAATGAATCGAATACTCGCAGGACGAATTGAAAAGACCTCGCCTCGTACCGCATTTCCCCGTTCTCCATCATCGCCTCCACAAATTCAACGCACCCGATCTCGTGCTCGCACATCACCCCTTTCGAACGGCGGTTCTTCCTCCACCGAGCACCGGCGAAAATGCGTTGGTAGGGCACTAACCCGGGGATCTAGAGCGGTGGCTGCACAGAGACATGGACTCCGCTGGAAGGGCAAGAGCAATGGGTACCATACACCGTGCACGCCGCCCGAACAGTGCCCGTGCGTGTGCTAAAACGACTAGCATGTGCTTCGCCAAGGAGCAGTGGCGTGAAGGGGAGGGGTGTGCGCAGGTGCGCGCGCGCGCGGAAACGAAGGATCAGAAAGTACGTACTGCCGCGGCATGCATTGGACGGCGGACGCAGCCGTACGGAATCTGAGACTTTTGACGAGTCCTCGGTCGCTCGGCCTGAAGGTATGACTCCTGCGTGACCACAACGTGGGGTTCCGGGCAATTTCGATGGAAGATGGGTGATTTTATCCACATTGATATGTGAAATAGTGGGATGCGCGTGGACATTTGGCGGGATGGGGAGAGTGGAGGATGAAGTCAAGAACAGAGACGGTCAGTCTTCCGAATCCGAACACCCAAATCGAGGCTTGCCCCGAGCGTCAGCTGCAGCAGGCTCCGCGGCGCTCGCGCCACTTCTGCCACTATGTACTTCATTTCCTGGCTACGCCAGAGCCTGCTCTCCCGTTCTTCTCCGTCAACGCGTCAACGCTGCGCGAATCTGCCACGCGACGGCATGCGGGACAATTCAAGACGGCCGTCGCTCGTGCATCGCTGCGCACTCTCCCGACTGGACGAATATCCCGGGAGTGTGCAGATGCCGGCGACGCAGGGGTCGCTTGTACGACGTCCGACCTTCGGATGTGCGTCGCGGTCCGCGACAGCGCCGAACCGGTCAAGCCGCGTCTCTCGCGCTCCGGGAATCCACTCGCTCCGTGACCCTCGCCCGTCGGACATCCGCCCTCGGTGTGTAGGAACCTCGACAGCCGCGGCGACGGCACGAACTCGATGGCAGCAGATGATCGAAGGTACAGGTGTGAATATTCGACGGCTGCTGCAGGCATGAACAGACATCTAGCACGACGTCACAGCCTTAACCTAACCGGAGGGCATCAGAGGGGAGTGCGACGAAACTCGCAAGAAAAACTCGCCTTCGAGCGTCACAACATCCCCCAAACCCGATCCCTAGGCCTAGGAAGCCCGTCAAAGTCCACGACGAACACCCACGCAACGCTCCCGAGGACCTCCGCCTCGAGCGAAGGCGCGAACTGTTCCTGCACGCTTTGGAACGCCGGTTTGTGGGCCAGCGTCAGGTTCAACTTGACCGCGTGGAGAGGCGCGCCGCGGCCCTTGCGCCATCTGAGCACGTTGCCCAGGGTTATGAGCAGCCCCGGGGTGAATTTGCACGGGGCTCCGAGGACGAGGTGTCGCAGCTTGGGGCAGAACGGCGTCGTCCTGGCGTCGTCGTGCGCTTGCGATGACATCAGCGCCTCCAGGGCAGGCCGGAACGAGCCTTCGCCAGCGAGACGCAGCTCGAGGAGGTGCGGGAAGCTGCGGAGGAAGCCGGCGAAGTCCGCTGAGGTCGTGTCCTCGAGCGCCACGGAAAGGTGCGCGGTAGTGATGTTCGCACCGGGGAGCATGTATGCCACGTCGTGCAGGCACCGCGCAGAAGTGGGCAAAGCAGGGAGGCGCCGATCAAACCCGTGGAATTCGAGTTCGCGCTTTAGGGTGAGCACCAGGGCGCAGGGGTGGTCGGTGGTGGTGTCATTGGGAGCGCAGAGGAACGATTTGAAGGTGTAGAAGGACGGGTTGAGCGTGGAGAGCTCGATGGCGACCGCATCCCTCACGAACGGAAAGATGGCAGACAGAGATTGCTGTATGGGTGCGGTGGGGAGGATGGAAGAGAAGCTGCAGGATATTCCAGCCCTGTTAGCTCTCGTAAGGTTTTCGGTGATGTGGACGTGCTTGATGCGTGGGAGATGGATGAATGACAAGAGCCACTGATGTGTATTCCCCGCCGGGTGCTCGAGGTGTAGACTGCGAAGACGTGGAAGTGATATCGTTGGCTGGATTGAAGGAGGAAAAGTAGTGACCAGATGACTAAGGCACGAGCGGAGGGAAAGTGTGACCAATTTGGTGCATGCCGACAAAGCCTTGTGCAGATGACTCCAGTCGGACATCCACGGAGCCACAGAGAGTTCCAAATGCTCCAGCTGAGTGTACAGAGACAGACCCATGACGGGAACGACGTTGTGAAGGACAAGACTTCGCAGATTGGCGCAGGAGGAAACGTCGAAGGAGAGGCGCGGCTTTCGTCCGGAGATGGAGAGAACGCGGAGAAGTGGGTCGCTCGAAAGGAACTCACGAAGCGCGTCCGGCCATCCATCGCCCATCTCGTCGTGTGACAGGGTCCGTATATGCTGGGAGTTCTCGAGAAGAACACCGAGGAGACTCCAGTGTACGTTGATGCCGTGAAAATAGACGTCGAGGCAGGGGCCGGCCAGCTTCGCGCGAGAGAGGCAGAGCTTGAGCCAGTCGGGGCGAGGGGAATAGAGGTGGATGCAGCGCCAGTACTCAGCTGTTGAGCAAATGAAGTTGCGCCAACGACTGCAAACGGCGAGAAGAACGATCCATGGGGTGTGCGCCGCCTTTGTAGGGCGGACGAGGTGGGATGTATGGAGGTGGGATGGAGTGACCTGGGAGGTGGTGCGGATATAGCTGAAGACGTCGTGTAGCACTTCGAGCGGAAGGGTATGGATGGAGGCCTTCTCGTCGACAAAATCTGTCGACGCTTTCTCCAGTGTCGCGGCGAGCCTCCCCTGAGCATCGTTGGGCATCTCCAGGGGCATAGACGAGTCAAGGTCTATTCTGTCCGGTTTGGATAATCAGGAAAACAGTAGAATACTGCACCATGCCGCCGTACCTCTCACAGGATAAATGGCCGTCCGTTGGGCAAGTCGAGCTTGATTCTTGACGAAGAGCGGGGCAACGAGGCTAACTTTGAGGCAAGGTGCCACTTTGGACGATGTCGGGGGAGGAGGATGTGAGGTGGTCCATAGTGTATGCGCGGTGGGACCAAATAGTGAGCGGGGATAGAGAAAGAGGATTGTGCAGCGCGACCATGGCGGCTCAGGAAGAGTTTGTTTGGCGCTCTCGATCTCAAGGCAGAAGTGCACTTGTCCCAGACGCCTCGCCGCTCTTTGTGCGGACTTTCCCTTCCTCTTTCCGCCTTCGCTCTGCTATCGACCTCCCCGTTCTGCTTCTTTCTCCCCCACTGCCCTCTGACTCTCAGCACGGGCTCCAAGAAATGAACCTCCAACCTATCCAAACCTAGTCAGCCGGCCTGGCAGCCCATCGAACGGGTTACGGGACGCAAAATAGCCGACTGTCGTAAAGTCCACCCACCCAGAGATGGGCTCATCTAGCAGCAGAGGAAAACCGGAGTGGAGAGACTGAGCTTCGAAAGAATGTCGGTACGTCCCATCCGTCCAACCTTTCCGTACTATACACTCGCCGATGCCACTACCAACTCAGAAGTTCGCTGGAAAGCCTGGTCGTCTCTTTCCCTGTGGCCGCTTCAGTCAGGCCGCCTCAGCTCGCAAACCACGCATCCCCCACACAGATCTATCCCGGCGTCAAGTGAAGCGGCAGAGAAAGAGCGCCAGACATACGACCCCACCATCTATGACACAGACGGCGAGTTTTCGATCCTCAACCACCCACGCGCGGCGCTGTTCTAACTCGTGCACGACTAGGTCCCCTTGCGATTAGCTTTTCGAACATGATCAGCGGGTTAGGGGTCGCGATACAGGACTCGCTCGAGTCCCTCTGATTCTCGCGCCTGCGCGATCTCTAGACGGGCACCCGGTGGGCGCAGAGATGGTGGCTTCGAGCGTGGACCCACGCCCAAACGCGCGCACGACCTCCCAAGCATACTTACGGGCCGCGACTGATGGAGGTGGCGGGGAGCGTCGTGTTCAACCACACATCGCTAAGACCAGAGCACCGCAGAAAGGAATCAGAGCTGTGCCGGCTGGTGGGTTCTTGCGACTGTAATCCGTGGGGTGAGTGGGCGGTATTGAGATTGGTTCGAGTTGGGTGGCTGATGCATCGGTTGCAGGCATGGAGTGATACAAACTACGGTCGACGTCCAGAGTCTTACGGAGAATCAAGACGGGTCACTGCCGCACAATGGTGTTATCACAGTTGGTGTGGGTAGAGATCGAAAAAAGACGTCATGGTCTCGTTCTGATGCGGCCGCGTCAGAAGGAGAAGGCAGCAGAACATACGATGGAGACTCACCATCGCGCCCCCTCAGACACCCCAGACCTGACGCGTGAAGCTGTCCACGTACTCAACGTACTCCCACATCACCCTCTCGACGACAGACACCTCGAGAGAAGGCAGGAACCGCGTCTGCGCGCCGTGGAAGGCGTCTTCGTCGCTGTACATCAGCGTCATCTTGAGCGTCTGGAGCGGTGCGTCGCGGGCGGTGCGCCATTCGAGCACGTCCACAAGGGCCGCGAGCAGAGCGTTCTCGCCTTTGCACGGAGTCCCGATGACGAGGCGTTGCAGCCCGGGGCAGAATATCGACGACCAGACACGTTCGCTTCGCCGTCTTCGCCAAAGTCGGCGGCGGCGGGTGCCATCAGGGCTTCCAGCGCTGGCACAAGCGACCCCTGCCCCGCCAGGCGCAGGTCGGTGAGGTGCGGGAACCCCCGGAAAAACGCAGCGAAGTCGGCCGAGGTCATGTCCTGGAATGCGAGCGACAGGTGGGCCGCGGTGACACGCGCGCCGGGGAGCATGTGCGCGACGTCGCGCACGCATTGGGACGCGCTGCGTTGGAACACGCCCTTGAAGTCGTGCTCGGTCGCGAGGATGAGGGTACAGGCGCAGTCCTCCGTGGAGCTCGAGGGGGCGCGGAGGGACGCCTTGAAGGTGTAGAGGAACTGGTTGAGAGTGGACAGTTCGATAGTGGAAGTGTCCTTGAGGAAGGGGAAGATGGCGGGGAGGCCTCGCTCGTCGCAGGCGGAGAGGATGGAGGGGAAGCCGCGGTATGTGCCCGAGTTGATAACTCCCATGAGGTCTTCCGTGATGTGGATATGCGCAATGCTTGGAAGACGGAGGAATGAGAGCAGTTGCTTGTGGATGTCCGCAGGGTGGTCGAGACGTAGGCTGCGGAGGCGTGGAAGGGTGACTGACTGTAGGCCGGCAGAGGGAGGGATGGTGTCGAGGTGGTTGAGGCACGAGCGGAGGGATAGTGTGACCAGGCTAGTACACGTCGATAGGATCTCGTGGAGATCATTCCAGCCAGACGTCCATGGAGCCACGGAGAGGTCCAGGTGTTCCAACTGCGCATACAGCGACTGGTCCACAATGGGATCCACGTGGCGAAGGACGAGAGTACGCAGATGGACGAAGGAGGGGATGTCGAAGGCGATGGGGTTGAGCCATCGCACACAGGAGATGGCGAGAGCGCGGAGAGGAGGGTCGCTGGACAAGAACTCACGAAGCGCACGCGCCCATTCCATGCCCATCTCGTCGTGCGACAAAGTGCGTAAGTATTCAGAGTGTTGGCGAAGGATGTTGAGGGTGGACGGCGCGCTGGGGCCGTTGATGCCATGGAGGTAGATATCGAGGCAGGGGCTGGTGGCCTTGGCACGCTCGAGGCAGAGCTTGAGCCAGTCGGTGCGCGGGGAGTGGGGGTGAGTGCAGCGCCAGTACTCGCGTGTCGAGCAGATGAACCTGCGCCAAAGGCTGCATACTGCCAGGAGTGTGGTCCATGCGGTGTGAGTCGTCTTCGTGGGGCGCACAAAGCTGTCTCGGGGGAGACCAGCGCCGAGGTGGGATGGGGTGATCTGCGAGGCGGCATAGACGCAGCTGAAGACGTTGTGGAGAACTTCGAGGGGGAGGGTATGAATGGGGATTCTCTCGCCGCTGAGCTCCCTCTCCCGCTTCTCGAGTCTCCCATTCACCGCCTCTCCGGCGTTATCGCGGTGAGGTCCGAGTTCCATGCTACTAAACGTGCAAGATAAGAACGACGGACGGCCTACACGACTCGAAACGCACCGGCCGGGTGGAGTTGCAGGAAAGCTCCAGCATGCGGTGGAGGTTGCGGCGATGCGGCGAGTCGTCGAGGCAAGTTTGGCGTTCTCAGGAGAGCAGTGTGGTCCCGAGATATGTGCGACGGAACGCGGAGCAGTGAGCGGAGATGGAGAGGAGGATTGGCGCGATCATGGTCGTTCCGGAAGAGGTGGGGTGCAGACGCGCCGACGCGCTTCACGGGCGCATTGGCCTGCAATGCTCGCCGACGATCAACATCCTGGCTATTGTGAGTCCTTCTCCCGCCGCCGTCTTTTGTCTTACAGCCTTCGTCGCGACCAGCTTTCTCATGAACTCATGGCGCTGCCGCCTCCCCCATATCTGTCCACCCACGAACATGCCCGGGACCACCATACCTCCCCCATTGCACTCGCGCCCCGGTGGCCCTCATCTGCCCCCTCCGTGACAAGCTCTTACCAACGTTCACTCGTGTCTGGTACACGTTGAACAAGTCGTATCTGTCCTTGACACGGGTATTCTAGAAACGGAAAGTGTATCATCGGCCCCGACATCTGTTCAAACAGTGAGTCGTACCCCTTGTCGCCTGCGAATACTGCACTAAGTGCGACGAATGACCTCAGGGCCATCAGTCGTTGCGATCTCCTCCTCTCTACCTGAGTCCCCTTCACGCTTCAGGGTGTCTCCCTTCTCCACCAAATCTGTAGCATGGACGCTCGGTACCCTTCCACAGGGATCGGTCCCCTCCCCGTCGAACTTCTCACCGAGGTCTTCATGATCCACTACGCGATGTCGCCACTCGTTCACGCTGGAGATCTCAAATATATCCACCGCACGCCGCTACACACCTCCGACTGGATGAACATCCTCCTCGTCTCCAGAGGTTGGCACGACATCGCTCAAGAAATCTCCAGTCTCTGGTCATCCGTCTCCGTCGGCGGGAACATGGATTGGCCTAGGACATGTCTCTCCCGTGTCCGGCGAATGAAGAAACGAGCAATCGACTTGTACATCCATTGCAAAGCCGACATGGACCCGCCGGACGAGCTCCTAGAGCTCCTGCCCGAACACGCTTCTCGACTACGGTCGCTCACGATGCTCTACGAGTCTAACGACCCGGAGTGGAGTGACATGCAAGTGTTCCAGTGGGTGGACTTCCAGGTCGATCTTTTCTCAAGCGGTCTACCATTCCAATCAGTTTCCTTCTTCGACGTCACCGAGAGCACCTACGACGTTGGGCTCCCCTTCGTTCTCGACGACCTCCAGATCGAACGTCTACCAGAGATCACAGCACTTTCAGTCGACGGCTTGCCCCCTCCTATGAACCCCGAGCTGTACGCCCGATTGGAGACTCTGGAGCTGGGGAACATATATGATCAAGGTTCCGACGGGGAGTGGCCTTTCACGTGGCAGCACGTCTTCGACTTCATGTTTCTATGTACAAACCTCCGCCAGCTCAAGATGGACGGCTTCCTCCGTGACTCGCTGTTGAACGACTTCGACAACGATGGGAACGCGGAGGGCCCGATCGTCACTTTTCCACGTCTCGAACACCTCTGGCTCCGCCACGAGGATCGGCTCCACGCGGCCTTCCTCGCGCACCTCAATCTCCCAGCCTTAGTTGAGCTCAGCGTAACCGACGACATCGCCTGCGCCCTCAGTAACAGCGGCATCATGAACCCCTTCTATTACACCCTCGCTGACATGCTTCCACTTTCCACCTCCCTCAACCTCCACGACGCACACCCCACCCTCCGCAAGCTGGACACCATCCTCCTCTCTTCCACCCTGGACACCCACGCCCTCCGCCTGTCACAAACGGCAGAACACGCAGAAGCGAGCCCCATGGGTAGCATCGCACGCCCAAGGGTAGATATTGTCCTCGACAAGTCCGGCTCGGACTACTCGCGCGACCGCCAATTTTGGCTCCGGCAGTGCAAGCTCGATCGCACCTTCAACGACCTCCTGTCCCCCTGCGTGCGCAAGGCCGGGAACATCATCGCCCGCCTCCCGCTGACGACGCTCGTCCTCGACCTCACCTACGCCCTCGTGCTCCACGCCGCGCCCTGGCGCGTCCTCCTCGCCGCCCTCCCGCTCCTGCGCAACCTCCGCCTGCAGGGCTTCGGCCGGGAAGCGGACGCGCCCCTCCGCGTGCTCGCGCGCGACGACGCGCTGTGCCCGCTGCTCGCGCGCGTGTCCGTCGGGGACGCCCCGTCGCTCGTCGCGGCGGACCACGCGCTCTTCCGGGCGCTCGTGCGGCTCGTTGCGCGCCGCCCGGGCAGGATCGCGGTCGGCCTGCGGGTCGTGCACCGGGACGCGGAGGGGCTCCAGAGGCTGTGGGCGAAGTACGGGCCGGCGATCGAGCGGTGTGCGAGGGGGGCGGTGGCGGTTGTGCGTGTTCGGGTGGAGGACCCGGTGGATCGGGAGGAGGCGTTGCTTTGGCCGCTGGTGAGTGGTGCTGTGACGTCTGTGTGGTGGGGAGATCACTGACGCGCGTTCGGAATCGTGCAGTGCCCCGCGCAGAATAGGGCGGCCTGTCAGATGTTGGTGTTTACGGAGCCGGAGGAGATGTTTGGTGCGGAGTTGGATGGATATCTTGCGGAGGACGTGGACATGGGGGATGCAGATGGTTCGGATGAAGCGGCAACTGGGTCTGAAGATGGGTCAGGGTCGGAGGATGGTACTGAGGAGGACGAAGAGATGGAGACGGGGGACGAGGACGACTAGCAACAGATCGTCCGCGCTACAACGTGAATGTATGTAAAGGTTTCTGCTTAAACGGCACTGGTCCCCATATTCTGCCAATTAAAAGCCATCAATACGACGTGAAACTCACCTCCCACCACCGTACTTACAGCAGGCCAAGAAGTCGGAGATCGGGCACGGTCGTCGAGTCGCGTCTCGACGGAAACTAAGCCTTGGGTCTAAGGGGATCCCGGCAAAAGCCGGCCCCCAGTTCGAGTCCACAGTCCGCCGCGCCTGCTCGCCCGCGCTTTCAGCCACTCTCTCTCTCTCTCCCGCGATGTCGTCGACTGTGCTCGTCCAGTACGTGTCAAATAACTTTCTCGGATTTTTCACGTTTCTCACTGCACGATGACTTCATTCTGCACCCTACCCAGCGAGAACTAGACTCTGGGTCCATTGTTCTCTCTCTTATCAAGATGTCGAAGCATCATGAACACACGCCAACGCCAACCTCACATACCCCTCACAACATCCTTCGTCTTCCAGATGAGATCACCCTCATGATTATCCAGGAACATTACAACGACACGGATATCGAAGCTGGATGGGGAGACTATTTCTTCTGGCCGAGATCACCAATACGCTCTCCGGAGTGGATGAATGTCTTGGGCGTTTGCAAGCTCTGGCGCGAACTCGGTTGTTCTACGAGCTCCTTTTGGAGGCCGATTCGCATCGATGGCAGCGTCGAGTGGTTCACCCTCCGGCTGGCGCGTGCGAGACAGTCGCCGGTGGACTTGCACATCCCGGGAGACCTCGACACAGAACCTCCTCAGTGGGCCTTGGATATCCTCTCTTCACGATCACCCCGTATTCACTCCATCTCCTTTCGATACCACGCCCCCGAAGACTCCCATCTATACGAAAATCTCTGGGAAGCCTTTCATCACGAACTATTCTCCAGCAGTGCTGCAGCGACCTCGGTGTTCTACACCAATATAGGACCCTCCTTGCCCGACACCTTCCTACTGCAGTCGCTCGAAACGGAGCGACTACCTCGTATTACGACGCTGTTCGTGGGCAATCTCTCACCGCCAACCAGTGGGACTCTCTACTCCCGGCTTGAAACCCTGCAGTTGTCGGACGCTTGGGGGGACGAGGAAGTCGACGATACCGGACCGGAGGTGTGGAAGCGTACTCTTGTCATCCTCTCCCATTGTGCCAATCTGCGCAAGCTCGTACTGCAAGATTGTATCTGGGCAGACCCCAGTCTCCGTCCGGTAACCTTCGAGGGACCTGTGACAGTCTTGCCACGCCTCGAGAGCCTCACTCTCTGCGGCAAAAACTCGCCGTTTTTGTATGCAGCCCTCCTCTCCGCCGTCCGCCTTCCGGCTCTTGTGGAGCTGCTCATGGACGAAAACCTCGACTTGTTGATCGAAAAGCACTCGTATCATAACAGGCACGAGTATTCATTCATCGACATGATCCCCAAGACGCACCGTCACAGCCTGCGAGACAACTTCCCCGCCATCCATGATCTGAACGCCATGTCCATCCACTCCACCCAACTCGTTCACACCCTCATCCTCCGCGCACAGCAACGCGACGAGCTTTTGCCAGACACGCCACCTACTGAGGTCTTCCCCACAGAAGCGCCCCCAAGCACACTCGTTCAACTGTCGCTAGAGGCGTGTTCCGACATACTAGACTACGGCGACGAAGACCACCGGACCGACGCCGGCCACCTCGCGCGCTTCCACGCGCTCCAGCCACATGCCGTGCTCAGCGCCGCGACGCTTGTCGCCGGGCAGCCCATCACCTCGCTCACGCTCGACATCGCGCACAGCCTCGGGCGCGACCTCTGCCCGTGGGAGGACCTCTTCGCCGCGCTGCCCGCGCTCACAGCCCTCCACGTCGCCGGCCACGGAAACTGCTCCGACGTCCTCAGCGAGCTCGCGACCAACGGGCGTCCGTTCACCGCGGCCAGCGTCCTCCGCGCGGACGGCACGCTGGACGAGGACGCGTACCGGGCGGCGGAGCGCGGCCGCGAGCGCGGGCCCGTGGTCTGCCCGAGGCTCGCCCGCCTGCGCATCGGGGGCCCGCGCGCGGTCGTCTTCGGGGAGTGGACGCTGGACGGGCTCGTGCACGTCCTCGAGTGGCGTGCGGAGCGCGGCGCGGCGCGGATCGAGGAGCTCGAGGTCGGGCTCGCGTACGATCGCGGCGAGAGCGCGGAGGGGCTCGCGGCGTCGCAGGCGGAGTGCGGCGCGCGGATCGCGGCGCTGGTGGGGCGCGCGACGTTCGACCACGCCTCGGCGGGGCTCAAGCACGGGCGGGTGGGGTTCCAGCTGTGGCCGCGGGCGCGGCGGGGGGACTCGAATCCGTGGGGTGAGTGTTTGGCGCGCTCGGTTTGCGGCGTAGGCTGTGGCTGACGGCGTCGTTTGCTGCAGGTGTTGACTGGTGCGAGTTTGAGCCTGTCGAATCCGAGCAAGCATCTCCCACACTCGCAGCTCAAGTGGAGCCCGAGGAGGAGGAAGATTGAACGGCCTCCAAGCATCAGCTTGCTTTTGTGCGCGCGAACGCGGACGCTGCATGAGAGGGTACTGACAATGGGGGACAGTTGAAAGCCGCACAACACAGGCGGTGAGTCGGTCAGTGGCACCAAAGGAGACGGATTGGCGGTGGCGGCACGGACGATGACGATTGGGAGCACAAAGGCGGAGGCGATAGGCGTTGAGGATTCAGGAATGCGTGCGCGGAGCTGGAGGAGCGGGGACAGCGGTAGACTCAGTTCGAGGGGGTGCATATTGGATAAACATCGTGCATAGAACGTATGTACATGCATGTGGAAGAGTGCTACGAGCTCGGCCGTACTAGGGACGTGAGTGCTCTACATCGCAAGTATTGGGTCGTCGGGAGGAGAGAGAGCGAGATACCAGGCAAATTGTAGCAGATGATGATGTACTTGTGCAATTCAAGAAAGCTAGTGTATCGAAAGTGAGGCAAAGAGACGAGAGAGATGGACGCCTACTAACTACATGTTCAACCTGCCACTGGCGACAAATCAGTACGTCGTCAGCGCAGCAGGGCGGCGGGCGTAAGGACAAACTACACATTGACGTCCGCGTCGACCTGCTCCGAAACCGTGAATGAACCCCACTTGGCCCATCTCGTCGCGCGCACCTCTAGTGTGTTTTGCGTCAGCTCGGGGTGCATACTCAGAGCAGCTTCGCGAGGGCCTTTCCGAAAGCCTTCTTCGCACCCCCAGGCCCGTCGATCCGCTCCAGCCGACACCAGTCCTCTTTGCCGTACGACAGCATGTCCTTGAGATCGACCTCGCGCACCTCCTCTGCGCGACCCTTCCACTTTACCCGGTCAACGGCAGGTAGCTCGACGCCGGCATCCACCGGATCCTCCCCACTCCGCTGCAGCTCCCGGAGATGGCGATGCGCGCGTGAAGTCTTCGGAGGGGAGTAATCCACGTCCACGCTCGACTCGCTGTCCGCGGCCACGGGGGTGATGCGCAGCAGGCCGCGCCCGCCAAAGCTGACGCGTCCGCGCTGGGGCACCGCCGGGGGTGGCGAGGCTTGAATCCGGGTGCTCTCCGCCTGGGGAAGCTCGCCGCGCAGCCATCTGTCCTGGCTGAGCACGCCTTCGACTTCCGCCGCATCCTTCGAGCCCGTACGGTTCGACGCGTCGCTGGCGCCACTGACAGTTCCCGCTTCCCCGTCCTTCTCCTCCTGCGCCCCCGCCTCCTCGTCGGAGTCGTCGAACCGGTCCAGCGCCTCGCTAGCGCCCTCGCGCATGGCCAGGAGCCGCCTGTCTGCCTTCGCGAACGAGCGCGTCTCCTCGCACAGCCGCCGCACGATGTCCTCGTGGAAGCCGTGGTTCTGGGCCATCGTCTGCACCACGAGCTGCATCACGTACGCCTGCAGCAGCTCGCGCTCCGCCGGGGGCACGGTGTTGACGAAGCGCGCGTCCGCCGCGCGCGGCGACGACAGGGACGTGCCCGCCCCGGGCAGGTACGCGGACGCGGGCGGGAGCGTGATGGTGCGTGCGGACGGGAAGAGGAACTGGAAGGAGTTCTCGCGCGAGAGGCCGTCGCTGCCGAGGCTGGAGCCCGACTGGAGGCCGGATGAGGTGCGTCGGGCACGGGGGTCGGTCGAGTGGCGCGCCGGGTGGTCGTAGAAGATGTCTGGTGTGACGGAGGCGCCGAGAGAGTGGCGGCGCGTGTGCCCGACGCTCTTCGACGGCTGCGGGAGAGGGGCGGGCATCTCGATGCGGGATGAGGACTCTTGGGGTTTCAGGTCGTCGAAGGATTGGTGGGAGGAGTGCGAGTCACCCTTGTCGACGAGAGAACACGGTTGCGGCATTGAATGGTCCGCGATTCGTTCAAAATGCACGCCGGTGTGCTTTCCGCTGGGCAGTTTCGCCGAAAGGGTAGATCTTCGTTCGGCGCCGCTGGCCTCGGCTCCGCTCGGCAGCTCGCCATGGCTCCTGCCCGCATCCAATAAACTCTCGAGACGAGCGCCATTGAGAGGAGGGAGAGGTCCCGTGGACTTCGGCCGCTTGGCATCGTGTCCCATATTCGATGGAGCAGTCAAAGGACGCTTTCGATCGGCGTTGAGCAGTTGTTCGAGGTTGGGTTTCGCATCGTTCCTACCGGGGATCAAGGGAAGGGAAGGCGCGGAGCTGGTGGAGTTGGCCCTGGAGAAAGCCCCAAGACGCGGGGCGAATACCGGCTGGCTGAGGGGCTGGCTGAACGGGTGGTGAGGTTGACTAAAGGGATGATGCTGCGGCCGGTCGACGTCTATCTCGTCCGCCTTGAGGTCGTCGTCAACAGGTTGCTGCACGGGTGAGGATGGGGGTTCGACGGCTGTAGGTGCGCGAGCGGACCGCGGGAAAGGCGTTCTCTTCGACCCTCGTGGTACTTTGCGCTCGACAGTGCGCGTCCTCTGCACAATGACGGTTTCGGTGGTGACGATTTGGCTTGAACTGGGCAAGCGAGCGTTCCCATCGGCTCTCGACGCGCGTGCCGGAGTAGAGGGACCGGGGTCTCGTCGCGTTCCCCCACGCACCGGGGGCCACGCTGAAACTTGTCGTGCGGGTACAGGGGCTGGTTCGTCGTCCTCTAGCGTGTCTTCCATGTCGCTGGTCTCCGGTTCATCTTCGATGTTGCGTCTTCGAGCCTTGCCACCCAGCTCGACACGAGTCTTGCCCTTCGCATCGGAGAGCGCCTTGTTGAAAGCACCTTCGTCCAGCCGCGGAGGCTCCTTGAGTCTCGGAGACGGATCGCACGGAGCATCAGGTTGGCTATTCCGACGCTTGGAAACCTGGGCAGTCGGAGAGCTACCCGTAGAAGGAGGAACGGATGACGAGGAGGCCTCTGGCTCCGGAGTGGCGAAAGTGATCTCTTCCCGTTTCTGATGGTGGATACGCCGAGGGTGTTTGCGACGAGGGGCGGGAGAGTGGCTTCGTTCCCGGTGGTGCCTTTCCTTCGCCCGGTCTGGTGTGGGTGAGATTGGCGGGTTCGGTGCGGCCTCGGCCTCGGGTCGGGGGCGTTCGTGACTCTTCCGTCGTGGGGGTGAAGCGCCTGATGCAAACGCATCCGAGCGCTTCGTGCGAAGCTCTTCAACAACGGGGATAACTCCCTCGACAGCCTCCGCAACCTCGACAACCCTTGGGCCCACAACGGTTCTACGGGGTGATCGGCACATGTAAAGTAGGAAAGAGACGAATACCTACGGATTTGCGAACGAATTGTCCCCAACATCGTCATCATGTCTCTCGTCGAGCTCGTCACGGAGAATTGGCTGATCCGTCAACATCTTCAACGTTTCGACTTCCTCGTCCGATGCTTCGGACGCCGTGGCAGGGTCTCGGGCTTCCTCTACATCGTCCACATCGCGGCCGGATATGTCCAGATGAGCCTCCTGCTGTGTTTGGGGGATGTCGACGGCACCGTCTTCCTCGTCACCGGAGGCTTCCACAGGCGCGCCACCTCCCGAACCCCGTCGCACAGAGCTTGGTTTCTTCCGCGGTGGCATAGCCTCCACGTCGACGCGGATCTTCTTCTTAGGAGGTGCCTCATCTTGAATGTCGCGGACCCGCTTCCGCTTGTCCGCGGGCGCGGGTTTCGCCCTTTGGGAGGACGGCCTGCGTGCGACGTAGTCTTTAACTGTCGTGACCGCACCCTTGGGCATGGGGATGTCCTCGTCATCGCCAGCCTCGCGCTGCTCGACGGCGAGTGGTGAACCGAATGTACGCAGGAGACAGAGGGAGACACACACGTTTTTCAGACCCAATCCGAGGTGACTGCCACGCGATGGACCACTCGACAAGGGGTGCTGGATGAGGGTCTGGTTGTCCATGTTTGTATAGTCCACTTGTGCTTGCGGTGTCTGAATCGTTCTTCTCGATGCAGAGGTGGGGGAGGGCGCCGATGTGGACGATCCAGGCGTACCGCTCTGTGACTGTTGGGCTCTCTTCACCAGCAATGCGATTTTCTTGTCCATGCGTGCGCGGTTGTCTGCGTGGACGTAGTGGCCCCGCCATGACTGCCACGTGTGCCTCTGGGACCACTTCCACTTCCTCTCCGGCTAGGAAAACCGCTGAGCGACGCCAGATAGGGGGAGAAGTATGTGGACTCACGTTCTCCACTAGGACCTGATAGAGCTTGTTCCCTGCCCTGCCCTTCCCATCAGGAGAGTATCTCGCCAAGTAAAGGCAAAGATAGTGTTCGTCTTCGCTTGTAAATCCAGTACGCCTAGTGCATTGCGCGAAGCGTTCAGTGAAGCCGCAAAGGGCACGACGCAGGACTCAACCACTCACTGGTGCATCCTGCTTGAAACAGCACTGAAGTAGTACTTCTGTCGCGCAGACCGCCGCAGATAAAGCCGAGTGTTGAAGGAGACGATGATCAGGGCACAAGTTGAAGAAGGACGGTGGCGACGCAACGGCGACCGACGATGCACGTGCATGACATACACGTACTGTCACAATAACGTGACAGCGAAGTCATGACTCTGCTCATTCAAAAATTGTTCGAAATGTCGGGCATTAATGCTACTACCACAACCACATATTCAATTCAACGTGGGTGTGAACGGGATACCCATGTAAGCATACACAACCCCATTGTCTACATCCCCGTCTCCCCGTCCACCGGCGTCACGCTCTCTGGCGCTGCCCACCGTCCCGCAATCCGCACCCGCCTGACGTTCACCCCGAGAGCGTACCCTAAGTCGCCCGAGACCACCCACTATCGTCGCCGCCGCCTGCTCTACCGAGCCCCTTGTTCAAAGTCCTCACCGCGACGCGCGCGCGTACTCCAATCCCAGGCCTGCAAACGATATATCAGTCGCGCAGAACTCGAATGGCATCGGCTTCGCTGTAGTTTGACAATGGCCATAAGTCGCGAAGCATACGATCCCGCCCATGTGTGCGTCCTGCCGACGCGTGGTCGAACGTCGTCGAACGTCGTCCTACCCACCAGCCGCGCGACCCGCGGACAATACTGGGCCTGCGCCCGTGCGAGATCCTTCGCGCTAACGAACCCTTCGTGCAACAAGCCGACCTCGAGCTCCTCGATCCGCGCCGCCCCGTGCGCTGCGCGCCACTCGAGCATCTCCTCGAGCGTCCGGAACGTCGAATCGTCCGCGGTGACCATCGCGTGCGGCCCCCCGATGCGCAGGCGCGTGAGCAAAAGGCACACCGCGGCCCCGGTAGCCGCCGCCGCCGCCGCCTGCGCCTGCTCTGACTCCTCCATCGCCCGCCGCGGGAGCCCGTCGGTCGCGAGCGCAGCCAGTGCGGCTCCGCAGCCCATGGAGCCGGCGATGTGCAGCGCCGCGAGCGCGGGAAGCGCCACGAAGAGCTCCATCCAGGGGTCGGCGGAGTCGACGTCGGAATGGGTCACGTCGAGCGTGAGCGCGGTGATGGGCAGCCCGACGACGACGGGCGCCGCGCCGCACACGACTCCGTGGAGGAGCCGATGGAAGCGCTCTTGGTACGCGGTGTGCTCGCTCGTCGACTCGTCCTCGCACAGCACGAGGTGCACGAGCGGGTGCGGGCGCACGTCCGCTTGGCCAAAGGCGGTGGCGGGCGTGGCGGGGGGCGGCTCGGCGGTTGCTTGCTCGCGGAGGACGAGGCTGTAGGTGAGCGTGGTGCTGCGAATGGACATGGCGTTCAGGCCACGGAGGGCCGGAAAGCCGGTGTGGAGGTTGTGGTGGTAGTACGTGGCGGGGAGCATTTCGTCGAAGGAATATTCCAAGTGCAAGTTTGTCTCGATCATCCTCGACAAATTGTCTTCCATGAGGAGTTCGACGAGGGCGGGAAGGCGGAGGGTGGAGAGGAAGGCTGCACATAGGAACGGTGCACGTGAATCGTTGCCGAGAAGAGTCAGGCTCTCGAGGTGTGGCAAGAAAATCACGGGCGGATTCGCGGGGTCGCGCCCGATGACTGAGATGTCGACCATGGGTGCACAAAGGGTGTCCTAGAGCACAAGCTTGCAGAGATTCGTACAGGGAGAGAGGATGGCTCTGATACTCTCCCATGAGGTCGGCCACGCGTAGTCGTCATCGTCTTGCCAAGCGGTCAGCAGCTCGAGGACTTCAAGTCGAGCGTAGAGAGCGGGACTAGTCGGCGGCCCGGATCCGACTATGACCATCGTCGTAATGTGAGGCAACCGCTCTGTCTCAAGTGATTGAAGTAGGAATGGATTGAGGGTCGTCGTGGGTGGCCCAGCATTGTAGAGCACCGATGTCGCGGTGGAAGCACAACCAGCATATAGCGCATGATGAAAGGCTTCCCAGGAGCATGTGTTTTCCTGCAGGGTTTCCGGGATTTCGTACACAAAGGATATGGACCGGACATGTGGGGACCGCCGAGCGAGGACGTCCAGGGACGAGCAAGGAGGTTCTGTCTCGAGGTCAGCCCAAACGTACAGGTCCACTGGCGAGTGTCCAGCACGCGACAGCCGCACGCCGAGCCACTCGACGTTGCCCTCAATGCAGATGGCGCTCCATAGGGTCCCGGTGGAGCAGACCAGGTCACGCCAGAGCTTGCACACGCTCATGACGGCCATCCACTCTGAGTTGCGCAGCGGCGCCCTGATGTTCGACCACGGATCTCCCCATCCCTCTTCAACCTCGCTGTCGTGGAAGTGCGCCTTGATCACCATGAGAAGAACTTCGTCGGGAAGATGATGGATGTCGCGGGGGGTCTGTCGAGGCTCGTGGGCAAAGAGCCGGGGACCTCCATCAGCTTGCGACATGTTGTCAGTCTCGGCAGGAGCTCAGGACATTGGCGGATCTGTCGTTTGGAGTGTACTTACGCGCACTGGAGAGGCGAGGGAATTAGAGTGAAAGAGCAGGTGCAGAATGGACAAGCTGGGTCGACGACGTTGTGGACGGGGAGGACGGCGCGGTCCGTTCGCTGGGCGGCGGGCGGCGGCGTCTCGCAGTACCTAGCATTGCGCGCCTGACTTGCGCTTTCACCTTCATCATCCACCCCTACTTACGAGGTCCCACATTAGTCCCCCAGTGCCAGATTTTCCTCGATTATCAGCGCGAATCCAGGCCCACATACGGCAGGACCACCAATGAGTGCAATATCCTCGAACTAGTTATACCCCTTTCTCGAAATACGAGGCGGGCGATATGAGCGGATGGAATGGGGTTATAAATACACTAGTACGTCCCTGCCGCTCACTCCTCATGCCAAGTCGCCCACGCCACTCCTGAAGCTCCTGCGAAGCCCATACTCCGCTGCTTCACTCTCTCGACTGCCCGCGTGGGAATCTCCTTTTCGCAGCGATCACTCGCGCCAAGCAGGGTGTGCGAGTGGCGGCGCGGGGAGGGAAATGCAGCAGAGGCGAGAGCGCGGGGGAAGACAGACAGTAGAGGTAGGCCCGTTTGGTGCCGCGGATTAGGTAGAAATTTGCGAGGGTGTAGCTGGCGCATAGTGGATCGTATTGCAGTCGAAAGCCGGCTATATTTCAATTTCAATAGCCATGCCTAAGGGCCTGGTCGGCTGCCCGTGGGATGGGCTGTGGGATGGGCTCGCCTGGGGCCGAGACGGCCGACGGCCCATCCCGAGCCCATCGGGCTTTCGCTGGCATCCGCGTCACTGGGCGTCACCCCGGGTCACTCCCCATCACGAACGGTGACACCGCGCGCTTGCGCAGTTCCGTGGACGGCAATCCACCTCCCTCATGTGTGAACTCCTTCGGCCTGTCCCAACAGCTCATTGGATGCGTGAGAAAATGTGAGCTATGACCTGTAAGGCTGCCCTTATTTCCAGTGTGAATTGTCCCCCTATCGGAGCCTGATGCAACCCCGCCTCTCGCTTAGGTAATCGTGCAGGTATGTGCTCGCTACCGCCTGTACTGTACACTAGTATGTGTTTGCTTCTATGCACCACCATCTACTGTGCATACACTGTGTGTCTGCATGTCTCCAGTGCCCAAAGGAGCTCAAGTGCGACACATCCACCCTGAGCACCCTCCGATCCATCCCGTAAACAGTTCAAGATCACTGCAGAGTGGCAGAGGGCAACCAACAGAGGATTGGGGAGGCAATGTGCCAGGGGAGTTATCAAGCATATCTCCTAATGGTAATCAGGTGGCTTGAATAATAGAGATAGCTCTGGTGAATGAGTGTAGTTGTGACTATTAGAGGGAAACTGTGTGTAAAGACAGAAAATAGAGGGAGGGGAAGGGAGCAAGCAGTAAGCAGAGAGGGGGAGATGGGCATTGCGGGCACGGGGAGCAGGGAAATGGCGTGACGGGAAAAGCGCCCATCAGTATGCCCATCCGCCCACGGCCCGGAGGCGTCCGAGCCCACGGCGGGATGGGCTCGAGGGGCGTCTATCGCGAGCCCACAGCCCATCGTGCTGCGGGATCATTTTGGCGGGGGACCCAGCCAGGACCCCCGACATCTCACCCAAATGCCTGAGCCGAATCCGGACATTGATGGCGATTTCGCGGGCTCAATGCCTGTAGGCGCTTAGGCCTTGTCGGACATTTTCTCGGATTTCGGCCGGCCTATGCCTGAGCCATCATCCGACCATCAGTGTGCGGGCTCCCGGAGGCCTGATCCTCAACCCGGCCGGAAGGTCAGCTAGAGTGGGCGACTGGGCTGCGGATCTTCGAGCGTCTCTCCTGCCTGCCTTACATATGTGAGCCGCTGTGCGTGCACCAAAAACACTGCATTGATTGAACTGTTTATAATGATATTCTACTGCCTGCAAGTGAATACAGCGAGCTGAAACCCAACCTCACCGGAGCCAGCATATGCCTTTGAGACGGCTTAATTACTTCCAGGGATCGACGTACCAGGCGCCGTTGGCAGCTTGACCGCGTGCCGGGTGCAGTCTGCATGCCACAGATTTCGTTTGTTCCACTCCGGGTGAGAACGAGAATGAGAGGGCGTGGGAGGCGGTTCAAAAGTTGGCCGAGGACCCAGGAAGCGCGGGTAAATCAAGCTCAAGAGTAGGAGGCAGGTTGGCGGGCAAGGGTCTCTTGCCCTCTCTCGGTACAGGTGCGGGACTTGCTCTCCCAACTCTCTCACCCGCATGGTGGACTATCGGGTACCCATGGAGACCTGTGCATTCAAAGTGATGATGTGCTCACCCTCGGGACCATCGACGACGGGCGAAGACCTCCCCCCCAAGTTCCAACGCCAATCCAACGCCCTCTAGAGACCTTCCGCAGTCCCCACGGCACCCAGCTGTCCATCAGGTGGTCTGTCCAGCAGATTTCGAGCACGCGCTCCGAGCACGCGTACAATCACTACCTGCCGCTGCACACGCTGCTCACGCTCGCGCTCGCGACGCACTCTCGCGCGGAGTGGCTCAGCGCGACGTTAGTCGTCCACAGATATTGGCGTGTTGCAGGCGTACATGCATCGCAGTCACGAGCGCGGTGAGGGCGAACGTCGGCGAAAGCAGGGGTGACCAGTGAAGGGCCAACGTAGAGGAATCAGGGGAGGGGACAAACGCATGGACGCACTGGCGGAGCACAAGGGCGCTTAGACTACAGTCGCCTCGAGTCTATGTCCCCAAATGTTCTCGTCAACGATCTACTGTATTTACAAGTTCCTACGACTCTTCAATGTATCTTCTACGCGTCTGAGAATCCCCGACGTTTCCTGGACGAAAATTCACCTTCCAGAGGCCTGTTCGAGCGGAATCCGGACATTTTGAGGCCCTCCGGAGGCCTGTTCCGAAAATCCGACCAAATTAGGCTCCAGACGGCCGAGGCCTGTAGCCGTCCGACCAAAACAGGGTCACCAGGAGGCCTGATCCCAGAGGACATTTTCGGCACTTTTTCGAAAATTGGGATCAGGCATCTGGGTGAGATGTCGGGGGTCCTACCCAGCCCATCCCACGGACAGCCGACCAGGCCCTAATGGTGCTCACCCGCTGACTGCCTGCCGGCCCGGATCGGGCCGATATATGTTCTCAACTTGATAGACTTCATTGATAGTGTTGCAAGAGTGCTGGGGTGAATGAGCCCTCCAGACAGCGCAGAAGCTACGTTCTCTGAAATTCTCTATCGCCCACGTTTCTCAGTGTCCTTGCCAGGTTGTCTGCGCATCATACCACGCCAAGTGTGACGGTCTCACGCGGAGCGGAAGGGCGAAAACGGGGAAAAGAGCTGTGTTGCTCGCTAGCGTAAGACAATGCGAATGAGGCGAATAAGTACTACTGTAGACAGGAGATGTGGAGCTCGAGAGTTGAGACCCTGTCATGGGCGCGGCGAGAATGAGCAAGGCGGAATGTAGAGTAATACAATGAAGAGCCAAGCCCACGCACCACTGAGCCTTTCCCCTACCTAGGTTCCGCCCTCCGATCGCCTACCTACTACAAGCATAAAATTCACTCCACCTCATTGGACTCACAATATTCAGGTCACATAGCGCAGACATGTGCAACTATCGCAACAAGCGAATGTTCAAATACCTTGCCAAGCATCTAATAAAAATTCTATGATTACAGCGCGGACGTGTCCATATAGTACGATAAAGTAGATGCGGTGCACATGACACCAGTGCATGCGCGTTTTCCCCAGACCTCTGATGTAGCATTAGGAACATAGAGTATCAATTAGCGTGCGAAGTCACCCCGGAAGACGAGCATAACCCCTCCATCGATTCATCCATCGCTTCCAGCTTTGATTCATGACGACGACGCGACCATCGCCGCGCTGCCCACCGTTGCCTCTCACAACGATTCCTGCTCCACAGCAATGCCCAGGCCGACCAGCCACTCGCGCCGGAGCTCCCCGTACATCTCCCACCCGTCGCTCTCCGCGACTGCGAACGCGTCGAGCGCCGTGTCCCCGCGCCGGAGCTCGACTTCACGGAGCAGTGCGAGCATCTTGTCGTGGGCGTTCGCGAGCCCGCGCGTGAGCGTCCCGCGGAAGTGCACGCCCTGCTGCAGCCGGCGGACGTCGATCGCGACGTGCTTCAGGCTCGGCGGCAACGCGGGCGCCAGCCCTACGCCCCCTCCAGTCGCCGTTGCCGCCGCGGACGAGGGGTCGTGGGGGAGCGCGGCCGCGTGCAGCTCGCGCGCGAAGGGCGCGGCGGCGGCGATGTCCGACAGGCGGAGGTGCGTGAGGCGAGGGGCGGCGGCGGCGAGGGAGCCGAGTTGGAACAGCCCGTGTGGGTTGCGGTGCCCTGACAGTCGGAGGCTGCGCAGGGCGGGGAGCGCCCCCGGTGTGTGCGGGAAGGGGTAGAATCCGTGCACGGCGAGGTCGGCGAGGCGGGGAAAGGGGGTCGCGAAGAGCTCGCCGATGAGCGGGGGCGCGGTGAAGGGGCAGGAGACGACGAGGGTGAGCGCCTCTAGCGTGGGCGCTGCGAGGGCAAGAATGCGCGCGGCGAAGGAGCGCTCGGCGTCGTAGCGCTCCATGTCGGACGGCGCGGACGTGTGCTTGCGCACGTCGGCGGCGGTCCAGTCGGAGAGGAAGAGGTGGCGGATGCGTCGGAGGTGGGGAGGGGTGGTCGCGAGCCTCTCGCACAGGTCGTTCATCTGCTTGAGACCGGAGATGGAAAGGGATTGGTAGAGAAAGGGGGCGGCGACCTCGCGGATGTAGTGCGAGACGAGGGAGAGCGCGCGGGCGGTGGTGCCGTCATCGGTGCAGGCGAACTCGAAGATTTGCGCGTGCAGTTCAAGCGGGAGGGAATCCATGTCGGCGGGCGGGTCGAGTGCGGCGTGGTCGAGTGCCTGCGGGGGGAGGGGAGGTGGTGGAGAGAGGAAGAGGTGGATGAAGGGGCGGTGGACGGCACGGGCAAAGAGCCCGGAGAGATGACGACCGACATCGGATGCGAGGAGCCCATTTGTTTTGTGTTTTTGCGCCTGGCAAATCCTCGAGCGATGATTGCGCGACCGTTGACGTGCGATCATCACGTGACCTGGTAACTGAGTTCAATCAGAGGCCCGCGATTCGATCCCGGGGCGTGGCAGTTGATAGATGCGCACAGCAAGCACATGGGACCTACAAGCGGCCACGAATCGCACGAGTCCATTCTCCTGTTTTACGGAATTCAACCCCGGCCGCCACCACGCTTCGCGAAGGCGGTGGGAGTCGCAGCTCCGACGTGTGTGGTCGCTGTGACGGCACCCTGACCGCCGAGACGTTTCCTTTAACGCGATGATCTGTGGGAGAGCAGCATTAGAAGCATATACGCAACGTTGTTTCCTGGATTGGTTGTAAGTCCAAGCCGTAACTCAGACACCGCTGTGAAGAGGATAACGTACCGCTGCGTAGATTGCCCGCGGCACCATCGAAACAGCGCCCGATCGAGTTCGGGCCCGCGAGCTGCCCAGACCACAAGGTGCGCCGCCCCTGCGGGTGGGACAGGAAGCACGGTGCCGACCAGGTGAGTATCGGATAGGTGCTTCGATACGGCTGTCAAGCAGATATACAATTGAGAATCTCTCCTGCCAAGATAAAGAACACGGCAACGGTGGGGCATTGGAAAGGCCATTGCGTTTGTTCGTGAGAGCGAGTACTTTGCTTGCCAGCAGAAATGCCCCCAATAATGACTTATTTCTCCCTTGTCCGCGGCGTTGTTGTAGCCGAGACGTCCAGACATTGACAGCATGGGCGTCCTCGCGGCAGATACAAGGGCATCGTGGTGACCATGCCTTGATCCATGCTGTCGACAACGACGTACTATCGGACCCTGCACGTCCGCCCGGAAGGCATGGGTCACCGGAATAGAAGGTTGTGGAGAGAACTTACAAGCGGCAGTGGGGGTATTCGTGATGTTCCTCATACAGCCCACACCTGATAGGGTGATCAAGTCGTCAGTAACAGATTTCCCTGAATGACCTGGAGGCGTGAGAAGGAGCCCTAGCCGTATGGGAGTGTTTTAGGTACGTCATGACAGGGGATCGATTGAGGACATATCTCCGTGGTGTCGCTATTGTCTCCACGTCTAGCCCTTGAAGTACTTCCGTAGCAGAAAATGCGACAATGCCAACATAACACGAATTCCGTGGCGAAGCTCGTCGAAAAATGCGCCCAAACGATCCCCATAGCTTGGCAGGAAATGTCCAAACTCTTCGCCGTAAATGGGTGCCCTTACAACAGTACGAGGCACTTACGTGGTCACACATCGAGCGGTCCGCGAAGACGACAGGTCAGACATTGACTCATTATAATTGGAGGATAAGATGCTACATTGGAGTGTCTAGTGATCGCAGGAGACTTCAGCGACAGCCGTTGTGGAAGGGCGTGGGGTGGAACTCACAAGGTAGTGGATACAGTCGGTGATACAAGAGTCCCCCGGAATGGAGACTACAGGCACGCCAATAGCGGCCATCGTATTCCATCCGCAGGCACGGAAAGACCAGTCTAAGGGGACTAAATTGGGGAGTGGACCTAGATTGCGACCGAGCACTCACTTTCATGCAGCAGCCGCGATGGCCCGGGGCTGCTCGTCGGAAATGTTGAGGCGCTCCATAGCATCCTCGAACTCCCCGTCCTCGCTCTCACTGTCATCCTCCTCCTCCTCCTCCTCCCCTTCTTCCTCCGAGGTGCCCTCGTCTGGCTCATCATCTGACGGGTCGTCTTCGAAGTCCAGCTGAAAAAGCGTCAGGTAGAACGCACGTCCCGCAGGCTGTGTGACTTACAGGATCGTATACTACACGGATGATGAGGCTGCAACTTGGGCATGTTGCGACGTCCTCGTAATTCTTAAGCTGCTTGCGCGAGATCTCGAAGCGGTCGCCACAGGGGCATGGGTAGTGATAGACTCGCTTCTCTTCGTCCCAAACCATGTCCTCGATTTCGACTTCATCGTAGTATGCGCCCATGACGACCACAATCGCGCGAGTGAAAGAGAGTGTGTGAAGCCGGAGGCGAGACGAGACGAGGGGCGGAGTCAAAAGCCTGGAGACGGATCAAGAGTGATCGAAGTTCGGAGGACGGAGGAGAAATGTATTATGTAAGCACACGCGAGACAGCAGGGCAGCGGGCGCTTCCTGGAGACGCAGAGTCTGGCCAACAACCACCACAACTCATAGGAAAGGCAGTCCGAATCGCCTCCTTGATGCACAGGAGCATCAGAAGAGCCTTTTCCCGCCAGTTTGTATCAAGTAGGCGGTATGCGTCGCTGACCGCAACAAGCCATCCTCAGCACTACGACGGTACAAGTAGCATCTCATCTTCTCTGTTCAGTTGCTGATTGTGTTCCCTCAGTGTGTGTCATTGGCGGCGGTCATGCTGGCTGCGAGGCCGCTGCAGGTGCCGCAAGAACCGGTGCTCGCACGCTACTTCTGACACAGAAGCTCGACACCATCGGCGAACTGTCATGCAATCCGTCTATGGGTGGTGTCGGTAAAGGCACCCTCATGCGCGAAGTGGACGCGCTGGACGGAATTTGCTCTCAAGTGACCGGTAGATACAGCACCATCTATGCGTGGCCTGCCTGAGCTGACCATATGCGCTCCCAGACGAAGCTGGAGCCCAGTTCATGATGCTGAATCGCTCCAAAGGGCCTGCGGTCCAGGTATGCTGCGGTTCATGTGTCATCTAACTCTTTCTCTGAGTACCCTGCAGAGTCCCAGGGCCCAGGTAGACCGGAAGCTATACAAGAAGCACATGCAAGCCGCCCTGTTTAACTATCCAAACCTCGATATCCGCGCGGGCAGCGTCTTCGATCTCGTGCTCAGCCATCCCACTACGTCGTCGTCCGTGACTGACTTTCCTCGGTCAGAAGTACGCGGTGTGAAGCTCGGTCAGCTCCTCGCATTCATCTCGTTTGACTGATAATCTAACGACTGCGCAGATACGGGCGACGTCATCACCTGTTCTCAAGTGGTGATCTGTACCGGGACGTTCTTGTCCGGCGAGATCCACATTGGTGACTGCATCCTGGCATAATCGCTTGCCTTGGCGCACTCATGAGTCGTTCAGGCACGAGGCGTTTCCCTGCGGGACGCATCAACGAAGCTCCATCCATTGGACTGTCTGCCTCGCTCGATACTGCGGGCTTCAAGCTCGGTCGCCTTCAAACCGGGACCCCTGCGAGGCTTGCAATGGATTCGATTGACTTCTCGAACCTGGTGGTCCAGCCTGGCGATTCGGACCCACTGCCGTTCAGTTTCATGAACGATCGTGTCGCCAACGGGGCAAGTCCTCAACGTTCGCTTTGTTGAATGCGTACTTACACTTACCATTCAGGAGAACCAACTCAATTGCTGGGAGACCGCCACAACGCCTGAAACTCACCAGATTATCCGTGATAACATCCACCAATGCGTACATATCCAGGAAACTAAGCGAGGCAAGGACACAGTCCTAGGTTCTCGTTCCTATTCTCACATTTATTTCGCAGGGCCTCGATACTGTCCATCTCTGGAGGCCAAAGTGATGCGATTCCCTCAGAAGGAGTCTCACAAGGTCTGGCTGGAGCCCGAGGGATATGACTCGGACCTGGTTTACCCCAATGGATTATCGTGCAGCATGCCCGAAGAGGTGCAAGAAGTGCTGTATCGCTCAATTCCAGGGCTCGAAAAAGTCAAGATCGTGCGTCCAGCATATGGCGTAGAGTACGACCATGTCGATGCTCGGGAGCTCGGACGTGAGCTGTATTCTGTTCAATTGGCTCATTCTGCTTTTTAGCTGACACCTCATAGCTACTCTGGAGACGAAACGCATTAAGGGCCTGTTCCTTGCCGGACAAATCAACGGTATGTCTCGGCATGCATTAAATGACGAGTAGCCTTTGAGAAAAATGTTTTAATAGGCACTACCGGATACGAAGAGGCTGCTGGACAGGGCGTCGTCGCAGGAATCAACGCCGGACTTTCCGCGTTACATCGCCCACCCCTCGTTCTCACCCGCGCAGACAGCTTTATTGGTGTCATGATCGACGATCTCATCGTCAAGGGGGCGGAAGAGCCTTGTGCGTCATACCATCTTCCATGCCCACCGCCTCACTGAAAGCTATCGCTCCCAGACCGAATGTTCACGTCCCGCTCCGAATACCGCATCCTCCTCCGCAGCGACAACGCCGACCTGCGCTTAACTGAGAAGGGTCGCGCGGCGGGCGTGGTTGGTACCGCGCGCTGGACGCGCTTCGAGGCCACCCGTGCCGAACTCGCGCGCGTCACCGCTCTCGCCCGGTCGCGCTCTCTCACCCCCAAGGTTCGTTCGCTGCTTCTTTCTTGCGCGAACAGGACGCGTTACCACTACGCCATCGCCTCCGCGCGCTTCGCGTAGGGCCATGGCGTGGTGGAGGCGTCATCCATGCGTGACCCTCGCCAAGTATACCAGACTGACGACATCTTGCGTCTTTGTTTGGTCCGGCGTGCATGCCCTGCCCTCAACCCCCTCGCCGCGCCCTCCGCACCTGACACGCTTGTGAATGGCAGGGCTGGAGCAACGTCGGGATCCCCAAGAAACAAGACGGGGTGTTCACCAGGTGCGCATGGTTCCGAACCATACGTCATGACATGGCACTGACGACATACTCGCCTGGCCATCGCTCATTGTGACGAACACTGGATTATAATATTGCGCGTGCGCACGCGACCTCAAATCTCTGTCCTCTCGGCTTGCGGTCGAATCATGCTTGGACCTGACGTTGGACTACTGCCCCCACGCACAGCGTGTATGCCATTCTGCGGCACCCTCACTTCTCGCTCGAATCTTTGTATGCCGCTTTCCCGGAGTTCAAGGATGTGAGCCCGCGCGTCATCGAGCGCATCAGGATAGACGGTGCGGCGTCTCCCTTCGGTCACTGCCGTATACCTTGTTGACAAGTCTCGCTCCGACACAGCAATATGCAGCATCTTGGCCGACAGGCAGCAGGCCGACCTGAAAAGGTTCATGGCGGACGAGGAGATCGCGCTGGATCCGGGAATTGACTACGCGCGCGTCGAGGGCTTGAGCAGCGAAGTGCGCGAACGCCTCATGCGTGTGCGCCCGACGAGCATCGTGCGTGTCTGCCTCTTTCGTCGTTTCCAGTAACTGGACCTTGTTGACGAGAGCGCATATCCCCAGGGCGCGGCGAAACGCATGGAAGGCATGACGCCGACCTCGCTGATCTACCTTCTGCAGCACGCACGGAAGCATCAGGCGTATGGTCCGTATGCTTCCATGAACGTCAATAGAGATTCCTCTGCCACGGCAAATGCGACTCGTTGATTTGCCGCTTTCGCAGACCAACGAGGCCAGTGGATATCATGTTTGGCTTGTATAATACGTACCTTATAATGTAACTACGCTCTAGTCGCATTCTCGCGTTGGGTTTGGAGGGGATGTCGATGAATGATGGTGCACCCACGTGGTGTCAAGTACTTGAATCTGTAAATAACAGTGTTATTGGGAATGTTGGCGTACGCCGGCCCGGTCATCCGTTGCTGGTCACCTCGAGTCTAGCCGTGGACGTCAATTCCACTTCTACTCCTCGACCAACACTTTGCCATCGCTATGCGTTCATGATCCACTATTGCTACATGCTAGGCCTCATACGAGCTGAAACTGAGCCCTTATCTTCGTTAAAGCAACACGGGATACTGGGGCAGTAGGTGATCTAGCCATACACGGCCGAAGATAGATCTATGTGAGTTTTCCTCGTCATCCAGTGTTCGCCATCACTATATGCGTCTGCGGTGGACTATTTTCTGACCTTCTATTAAACCTGTAGAGGCTAGCCCCTGGATCTTGGTGTCAAAGCGAACGGAACCGCCGGAGGAGAGGCACTTCAAGATCCACCCAGGTGCGTATGCGTTTTGTTCGCTAAACGTACTCCATCCCATCACGCGCCTTTAGTACTCAGCATGTGGCTTCTGAGCACGAAGACGGCGCGGCTGAAGTACTTCCGTAGACCCGAAGACGTCCCAGGTGGCTACGTGATCCTCTCGCACACATGGCGGAGACCGGAGAAGGGCGAGGGCGACGAGGACACCTTTCAGCAGGTGCAGGATCCGGCGCGGGTGAGTGCTCCCCGCCCCCGCGACGGCTTGTCCAGCAAGATGCGCGCCTTCCTCGAGCAGGCGGAGGAGAGCGGGTTCAAGTGGGCGTGGGCGGACACCTGCTGCATCGACAAGACGAGCAGCGCGGAGCTCTCGGAGACGATCACGTCCATGTTCCGCTACTACGCCCTCGCCTCCGTCTGCGTCGCCTACCTCGCCGACGTCGGCCCCGGAGACCCCCTCGCCGACTTTGAGCTCGAGCGCGCGTTCGCGGCGAGCCGGTGGCACAAACGCGGCTGGACGCTGCAGGAGCTCGTCGCGCCGCGGGTGGTCGTCTTCATGGCATGGGACTGGACGCCGCTGGGGACCAAGTACGAGCTCGCGCCGCTGCTGTGCCAGGCGACGGGCGTGCCGGACGCGGTGCTGCGGTTCAAGAAGGATGTGTCGGACATGAGCGTTGCGGAGCGGATGTCGTGGGCGGCGGAGCGGGAGACGACCCGGGTGGAGGACGAGGCGTACTGTCTGTTTGGACTGTTCGGGATCAGCATGCCGCCGCTGTATGGGGAGGGCCGCAACGCGTTCTATCGGCTGCAGGAGGAGATCATGAAGACGTTGCCGGACGGTTCCCTCCTTGCGTGGGGCTCGATCAACAGCGAGCGGGTGCTCGACGAAAGCTGGAAGGTCGACAACTCGCCGTCCACGAATACCTCCGGATATTTGCTGGCATCATCTCCTCGGGTCTTCTTACCAGTGAGAGGAGCTACGCTTGGTCGTGGAGTGGTGATTAGCTCTCCAAATGCATCGGCGAGTAACATGTCTTCTCTTGACGATTTTGTACTGATCGAAGTGTCTCTGCATCTAGAGCTCCACTGTATTCATGTTAGACGCGCCTCGCTTCGACGGAATTACCCCAGCAGGCGTTCAAGTTCGGATACGCATGCTCGCTCTCGAAAATGATCTCTTCTTGGGCGACCTGTACTGCTGCGACTCCCGCGACGCTCGGCTCTACCTCCTCCTTCGACGCGAACAGATTGGGACGCCAGAGGATGAACGCCTAACATATCGATGTTGTCCGTGGCACTCGAGCGATTGGAACGAGGAGACACACCGAATCGTAGAAGACCACTTTGAGGCCCAGAGCAGTGCCAATGCGCCAGACAACCAGTGGCGGACTCGCGACATCTACCTCACCCCACTCCGCCCTCCTTACCGATGCATTGAGTCCAGCGACTCACTCGAGCTCCCAATCGGCGAGATCGCTGGGTGCGCGCCACCGTTCTTCATAAAGCCGCTCTCCGCATCAACAAATGGATTCACCGACCTCTGGCAGCAGACCACGCTCCGATCCACGACTGCCGTCCAACAAGTACCACAGCCTTGGATGGGGAATCCTTCAGTCACGCTCTTCTTCGACTCCCGCAACCATCTGTGGTGGAACGTCATCGCTATCACCCTCGGCCGCTGCGAACGTTCCGACCCCCAAAGTCCATCCACGTCCCACTCTCCACACGGGCCGCACTTCGCCACGGTCAACTTCCTCTCTGGTCGACGACACGAGCCCTTCGACCCCACCGCACACATGCGTGCCCCAGACGAGCACGACTGTGCGACGGACCACATTGGCCGCTGGCCGGGACTCGCGCGCGCGTTCGACGCGGTCGGCTTCGAGCGCGAGGGTCCGCGCGCCGGGCGCGTGCGGCGGCACCTCCTCTGTGTCTGGTTCACCCGCCACGCGCGCTGGTTCGGGTCCGCCGCGGACACGCTCCAGTTCCACATCGACGTCGCGGAGGGCCCGGGGAGCGCGCCGCGTCGGCGGGACAGGCGGACGGCGATGGGGACGAGCGATGGGCCAAGTTCGGGAAGTGCGCAGTGATGGATGGTTTGCGCATGTCTGTCTCGAGATGATGCGGGCTGTTTAAATCCATTGTAGCGAATTTTCGGGGAGATGTGGTAAACTTGTCGTTCCAGAGTATTCTGGTTGCGTATGTTCTAGTGGCGCCGCATTGTATGTATAGTCGGAGAGAGGGGTGCGCCGAGTACCGGCGAGCGCATGTCAATGAAACACATGGGACATGCCGTGCATAAGAGGGTGAGGAGGAGGAGGAGGAGGAGGAGTGCCAGTGGTGGTGTAAATGGACAAAGCGGCGACGGTGGGCGCCTGCGGCCGTAAGGACCAACTCTTCCAGAACGGCCATGGTCGCGCAAATACTCCTTCCCATCTGCACTGTGCACTCACTGCATCGCTTTACGACACGCATACCTCGGGCCCACCTCTCTCTTCGGAGATCGTCGTAGCGACACTTCATCTCGACGGGGGCCCGAAGTTGAACGAACCCATTGCTCATCAATTGTACGTTCGCCCTAAGTTTGCCTCATCGGGGCCCTTTTCACAGGTGCGTCTTCAGTCGCACCGAGATGTGTTAGTTACCTGATCTCGTACACTTGGCAGCATGGGTCATCGCTCGCTCACACAACCACCGGAAAGCTTGGACATCGCAGAAGGGGCGGTCGACGGGGAACTGAACGAGACGTTGAGGGAGCTTGTAGGCAAGAAGACCCCCATCCATGCCCTCCCTCTCGAAGTGCTTCACCAAGTCTTCAGCTACGTCTACGCTGCCTCCCATCCCTTCCCTTCCCACTTCAGTGCCGGCATCCCTCCGGACGGCTTCGTCCCCCGCGCGAAAATAGCCCACAAAGCATGGACCGCTCTTCTAGCCGTATGCAGTCTTTGGCGGAGATTCATATGCTCATCAGGCGAGTACTGGCGCTGCATCCACATCTACTCTTCCCGCCCCAACTGGCTCAAGCTCTGCCTCTCGCGCGCGGAGCCGACCGGTCCCTGTCTCGACGTCTACTTCCACGGCATCAGCGCCGATCCCAACGCACCCTCGACTCTCCTGCGCGTTCTTCGTGAACACGCCCAGTGCCTACGAATCTTGTCGCACGACGAGATGGGCAAGACGTGGTCGGGCGCGCTTCATGCGTTTTTATCCAGCCAACCTCCCCTCCGCGTTCTTGCCCTCTCCTGTCCACGATGGCTCACCCCGGTCGGATTCAACGTCCCCGCGTTCGGGATCCCCTCCTTTGAGATCCCCTCCTTCCTCCCCCTGCACATTCTCGTCCTTCGCAACGTCGATCCAACCGTGGACCAGTCTCTATATGCGCGATCGGAGCACTTGGACCTTTCCGCGGTCCCATGGACGTCCGACTGGGATCATCTCCACAGGATGTTATCGAAGTGCACCAAACTAGTCACACTGTCCCTTCGCTCGTGCATTAGCCACTTTGATTCCTTCCCTCCCCCTCCCGGCCTGCAGACGGTCACCCTTCCACGCCTCCTCAAGCTTCGTCTCGATCAGCGAGCGAATATGCACATGCGGCTTTTATCTTTCCTCCACCTCCCAAGCATCGCGCGCGTGCACTTTACGGAGCAACTCAACGGCGACAACCGCAATTATTCCTCTATGATCTCCACCGTCCCTACACGTTCGCTCCCCTCCATCTTCCCGTTCCTGCAAGCCACCGTCGCCATCAAACTCTCCACTGACGACTCGGAATCTGTCTATACCCTCAAGGCGTACCTCTGCGCTCCCACGGACTCCGACGACGACAACGCCTGTGCCCTTGTGCTCGCCACGTATGTAGCACGGCATTCCGCCGCGGGCTACCTCCGCGACGCCGCGCGCGTCCTCCCCACCGAGCACGTCACCATCGTCCACCTTTCCCTCGGGTTCCAGGAGACGGCCTCGAAGGACTTCTTCCCCCTCTTCACCGGCTTTGTGCACCTCACCGACCTGCGCCTCTCAGGCCATCTCGTACCTGTTTTGAGGGCATTGATGTCGTCTCAAAAGCGAACGGGAACCTTGCCCGTGTTTGCAGCATATCGTCATTGGGGCCCCGTGCAGAGGCCACGACAGCTTGATCATACAGGTGGTCGCCGTGGTTACGCATCGCAAGCACCATGGCACACCCCTCCAGACGCTCAAGATGACTATGGCGTTCAAGGACGAAAGGGCATTCCGCGCGGCGGAGAAGAAGTATCTGCATTTATTTCAGAAGTCGGTCCTTGAAACGGTGACGTGGAAGTTTGAAGTGGACGTTCAAACTCTCGCGCTTCGGAACCGGAGATGGGGGCTCTGAGGGGACACGAAAGTGAGCCTCTGTCGTTCATGTTCGGATGCACTCTCTTTTGACGCAGCCTCCTCAGGACCACTTCTTGATCTCTGGTCTCGTATTTGCGTACTACGGCTGCCAAACCAAACGCTTTGACGAGAACGCCCTGGCCACCAAGTTCTTCGTTATACTTTCGGCGGAGCTGTTCGTCTACCCTTGCTCCCTGGGTGCGGAACACGGCGAGCTCCGGGGGATTCCCCCGCCGTACCAGTGACCTGCTTACTACGTCCTACGGCGTCATTCGGACACCCAAACGTATCAGGTTGCCAAAGTCCTTCCAGCTCGTCTTCATCACCTTCTGTGGACTGCGCGCTCCGGACGGCATCGCCCACCGCGAATCTGGTTAGCGGACATGCTCGGGCTAGCACGACTTGTCTCTGGCCTCGTCGTGGAAACGCTTGTGGGCCTGGCGACGTGCTACTCCGATCACCCAACATACGTGTGCGGCTTCGAGCCGTTTGAGTTCGCGGACCCGGCAAGTGGACACTGGGAACTAGAAGACCGGGGCAACATCGACTTTGGCGGCGAGGAAGACCACCTGAAGACCGTTACCATCCTGGCTGCTGCCTATCAGCTGGTCATATCTGGTCGACGCCGTAAGATGGTTCTTGAGGCTCGAGGGCCACCGCGACGTATCACCAAACGGGCAAAATCGACATCAGTCAGCTCGCGACAGTGCGTGTCGACCCTTTGCTTCGGATCTCGGCAGCGACGTACACACCCTCATCCTCCCAGGAAGAAAGCCACTTTGGCGATTCGCGCTACGCTCCACGACATCTGCGTGCACCGTGGCTCCCTTCTTGTTCGTCCTCTCATCGATCCAGATTGTTCGGGTGTTAGGAATGGCAAGGACTCTAAGGGTGCACGCCGACACGCCTCTGGGCGAGGAGCACCGGCAAAGAGACATCGTGATGCATTTGAAGCGTTGGAAAGCATACTGTAGCTAGAGGCACACTAGTGCAGAATCCATCGGACCTACATTTTTCTCTACTGCCATCATCGGCGTGGGTCGTGATTCATGTGATGTGACAGCTCTCAGGAGTTTGTGACATAAGGGTGACGCACAGACTCCCAACTTGCCAAGGGCCCCGGTGCAGCGGCGCCACGAGGATTTTGCCCTAGAGCTGACCACAACCTCGGTCGCAACGCAGGGAGTCAATCGCAGGAAGTCCCCCGTTCAGCAAAGCTCTTCGTCATGGATTCTTCTGTAACACAGGAGCGCGTCTCAAGCCGCATACCAGGCAACGAGCGGGTGAGTGATGATTGTTGAAAAGGAACCAGCTGACACAGACATAGACGAGTGTTCTACGAACAGCCACGGCTCGTATTGTAAGCTGCCAGGACCTGATTATCATGATCATGGACCATCTCTACCACGCTGGTGCAGAAGACGCAGTCTCGGAGTTCCACGATACTTGGAGTTCGGCAAACCGAGCTCTAGCCGCGGCAGCACGGTCATGCAAGGTCCTCAGCGCTGTCGCTCTCGCTAGGTTATGGCGTCATATCTACAGCATAAACCAGCTCTTCAAGGTTTTCCCTACATTCACGCTGGATACAAGATACAAACAGGTGATCATGGGGCCAGTGTTCCGTGGGAGGTCGCTGACTCCGCGACGATGTAGGTTCTGCCAGCCAACCCGTCAGACGAGGAATGGGCTCGCTTCGAGCTCTATGCCAGACTCATTCGTCGTCTCGACGATTTCCATCTCGATGACATGGCGGAGACGTCCTTCTTTTACCGTTACAGCCGTGACAATCTCATCCTTCCTCATCTTGTTCATCTAGGGTCGATCGATATCCAGTCACCTTCCCCCTTTCCACTCGCCTTGATTTCACCGACCTTGGAATACGTGGGGCTTCGATGTGGACGCGCTCCCAAATCCGGAGAAGTTTGCAACCTTCTACTGAACACAATCACAAGCCTCGCGATCGATGCACCGAATCTTTCGACGTTGGACATCCGCGATTGGTTCGAGTTCTCCGACGATCCAGTAGCCCAACTCGCCCCTATCCGAAACCTCAAGTCACTCCGCACCCTCATGACCATGGGTCCCGTCGATCTGGCGTTGACTCTCACACTCTGTGTGGAGTTACCTTCTCTGCGTCATCTCGACCTAGCAGAGGCCCTGTTCTTGGCCGAAATCGACTACGGGCAATTTAGCGAACGGTTCCACAACCTGAATGTCCTTAAGATCGGGTTTCGCTGCGCCAAATCGGAAGTTCTGGGTCGCTTTTTGCACGAAGCTTCCCCTCCTCTTCGTTCCCTATCATTGTGCATCATCGACCCATGGAATGCCACCAGTCCATCCTCTTATTCCTCTTATCGACAACTCCCCCATTCCACTGGGGCCCTAGCATCCGTATCGAGCACGGTTGAATCATTAACCGTGCGGTTCGGTCTCGAAGATACATACTATAGTCTCGACGACAACGAACACCCGTCGCTCGACTTTTGCGTCATTGAACCCGCGCTTGCGCTGAATCGTCTCACCACAGTCGACATTCATTTCACTCCACTCATCCTACTCGACGACGCCTCCGTTGGAACGATGACCTCCGCGTGGCCGCTCCTTCGCATTCTTCGCATACGACAAGGGCACGGGGAACTGGACTACTTGCCAATCACCCCGGACCCACCGGACACACGGACTCGTCCCACATTCCCCTCTCTCGTCGCCTTGAGACACGTCGCCGCGCACTGCCCACGTCTGGAGGAGTTCGAATTTGCCTCAAACTTGGAGCTCGCAAATCTCCCTCCTTCCTCCGCCAGCCTGCCCGGTCCCGTCGGGCATCGCCTCCCGTACCTCGATCTCAAGCTTCTCCGAGACTGCGACGAGTTCTGGGACACGGCCCCGTGCGAGCGTGTGTTCGTGGCGCTGTACGTGGACAGGTTGTTCCCGTGCCTGCGTCTGCCGTCCGTTTTCGAATGGGATGGAATCGACGAGGATAGGCCGTCCCGGCGAGGCTTGGCCTCCGTTGTAGACTCCCATCTCACCCACACGCTCGCCGTGTTGCAAGCTGGGAGGAAGAACTTCGTGGAGGCAGCTGGGACCATGGCCTCGCGATGAGCCCGTGGTGGCATGGGGGTGGCATGCAGTGTACGTACAGAGCGCCGCGTCCCACCAAGGCCGATCCTCTCCTTGTGCCTTTGTCATTCCTACATTAACCCGGGTTATACGCAGTGCTATCGTAACGGCGGCGGAGTCCTTATTTCGCCAAGATATTCGTTTTTTCCCGCTCGCACAAATCATCATCATAACTGAGAGACACGCTTTGTTCATCGGAGGGAGGTACTCAGAGTACTGGGATGCTGGGGAACCGGCGGTGTTTATCCGTCATTGGTCTCCCTGCGTGGATGCAAGCAATTCCTGCCCCAGGCGCCCCCCATTAGACCGTCACGTACGGTGGCATAAGGGATGGCCCCTTCGACAGACGCGAAAGCGGAGACGATCCGGGCAACATACGCACGTTTCGCGCCCGCCTCTCCCCGTCCGTCGGCAACGCCAGCTCCCTCCTCCCCGCGCGCCCGCTCACGAGGCTCTCGCTTGACCTGTCGCACGCGTGGACTGGTGTCCACTCTTCGCCGCGCCGCGGCTCCCACGCACGCTCTTCGTCGGGCGCGGGGCCACGGTCCTCGCGCAGCTCGCTGAGGACGAGGCGCTGCGCCGCGAGCGAGCCGGGGGTGTGTGCAGACGAGGGATTACTGCCAGTCGCGCGCCGCCCAAGCGTGATGGAGCTTGAATTACAGCTCATGTATGAGGACGAGGGAGAGAAGCGGGCGGGTTATGAGCCGCGAATCGTACAGTTTAAGGAGAGGGTGGTGTTTTGTCGGATAGTCCTCCGTCGTGCGACGGGGTCGTATACGGGCGAATATATCTCGGTAAGGGTATAGTGCATCGCGCGGGGAGTACGCGTACATGTCTAAGGGAGAACGCGGAATACGCGGATGCGCACCATGACGAAGACAGCGCCTTCGCCCTTGCGCCCACCCAGAAGTACGTATTTTTCGGACTTGGATTCGTGACCGTTGCTTTGCCCAGTTCCGCGACTACAATCCCAGGCCTGCGAACGATGTATCAGTCGCGCCTTCAAAATGACAGACTCGAGATGTGCCACAGAACTCACCCCACGGACACATGTCAAGCGGGTCCACCCAGTCCCGGCCATGTCCGCGTCCCGCCGACGCGTGGTCGAACGTCGCCCTGTCCACCAGCCGCGCGATCCGCGGACCATACTTGGCCTGCGCCCGTGCGAGATCCTTCGGGCTCTGGAACTCCTCGTGCACAAAGCCGACCTCGAGCTCCTCGATCCGCGCCGCCCCGCGTGCTGCACGCCACTCGAGCATCTCCTCCAGCGTCGAGAACGTCTCATCTTCCGCGGTGATTACCGCGTGCGGCCCCCCGACGCGCAGGCGCGTCAGCAACGGGCACACTGCGGGCCCGGTCGCCACCGCGCGCGCCCGTCGGTCGTGAGGGCGCGAAGGACGTCACTGCGGTCCATGAAGCCGGAAATGTGCAGAGCGGCGAGCGAGGGAAGCTCGGCGAAGAGCGCCATCCAGGGGTCGGCGGATATGACGAGGGTATGGGTCATGTCAAGTGTGAGAACGGTGATCGGCAACCCGGCGACGACTGCCGCAGCGCTGCACACGGCGAGGGGAGTGAGACTTTCGAAGAGATCCGCGTGCTCCACTTTCCCGGGGTCCTTCTCTCCTATGTCCACCTCCTGGATCGCGAAGTGTACCAGAGGGCTCGGGTTGGCATTGGCTGGTGTTGTAAACGTGGGAGGTACACTGGGGGCAGGTGGCTCTTTGGTGTCTTGTGTGTGGAGGATGAGGCTATGGACGAGTTGGGTGGAACGGATGGACATGGTGTTCAGACCACGGAGAGAGGGGAAGCCATCATGGAGGTTGCGATTGTAGGTCTCGGGAAGCATGTCGGAAAATGTGTATTGGGAGTCTCTGCCGTAGAAACCCTCATCAATCAGGTCATCGAGGTCATCGAGTATCGAAAGTTCGACGAGGGCCGGGAGACGAAAGACGGAGAGGAAGGCTGCATGCACGAAAACACATTTATCACCGACGAGAGTCAGGCTCTCGAGGCGTGGTAGGATGATCACCGGTCGGCCGACGGTTTCGGGCCTTGTACCTTCAGCATCCAACAAGTACACCTGGAGGACGTTGAAGGCTTGTGCAAGGAAAGAGGATGTCGAACACGTCGTCCCATATACCTGGCCAGATAGCTTCGTCCTGTGGGAATATCTCAACTCCAGTTCCTCCAGTCGGGAGTACAAAACAACGCTGGCCGGTGGTTAGGAGTCTTGCATTACCATCGTCGTGAGTTGATGCAGCGGCTCGGTTTCAAGAGAGCAGGGGAGAAACGGATCCTCCGCGGGTAGCTGGGTTTTGTAGAATAGCACGTTGATATGAGGAGCACTGATGAAGAGTACGCCATGAAACTGCTCCCAGTCTTGAGTGTCTTGATCCGAGATGTCAGGGAAAACTTGTAAGAGCGTGAGGGAGTGGATATTTGGAGAGCGACGGGAGAGTGTGTGAAGGGATGCCCATGGGGGACTGATGTTCATGTCACACTCGATGTACGGATCGACAGGCGCATGTGTTCCGGCACGGGCTAGGCGTATGTCAAGCCAGTCTGCATTGTAATCCAGGCGCATAGCTTTCCATAAGGAGGATGTCGAGCAGGCGAGATCGTACCAGGTCTTGCATACACCCAGGACATTCAACCAGCCGAACGTGCGTAGCGGGGAACGGAGCGTCAACGCCGACGAAGAGTCTCCCCAATCTGTCCCCTTATCGATCTTTGTTTTTGTAAAGTTCCTCTATGATCATGGCAACGATTTCAGCAGGGAAGTCGCGGATGACTGGGGGTATTCGCCGGGTGTGAACAAATGATGACCGGTGCTGGATAATAGAAGTAGACTGCTGTTGAGAGCCGTCGGAATGCCGGTGGGGAATTGATTCATGATTGTCTGACATTCCTCAAGCCCTAGGCGATACGCACAGTTGACAGTGCCGAGAATAGCGAGCGAAGATGCAACATGATGGTCTATACCAGGTGTTGAATGACAAGTTGAGCGACTCACTACTTTTCACGCGCTTTCGTTGAACTTGAGCCGTATGCGTTGGAAGAAGCTTGGTTAGTAGAAGATACGATTCGCGGACAGGGAGAATCAGCGACGTCGTGGTTGAGGATCAAAAGCCGCGCCGTTAGCGCCCGTCCAGCCCAAGCCCATAGGAAGCGTCGATTCGTCCCACTCGTTTACCCTTCTCATGTTGCAATTGCCCATACCAGTCAACATCTCACACAAAGACGCGACTGGAAGAATATGGGGACCAGTGCCGTTTAAGCAGAAACCTTTACATACATTCACGTTGTAGCGCGGACGATCTGTTGCTAGTCGTCCTCGTCCCCCGTCTCCATCTCTTCGTCCTCCTCAGTACCATCCTCTGACCCTGACCCATCTTCAGACCCAGTTGCCGCTTCATCCGAACCATCTGTATCCCCCGTCTCCACGTCCTCCGCAAGATATTCATCCAAATCGGCACCAAACATCTCCGGCTCCGTAAACACCAGCATCTGACAGGCCACCCTATCTTGCGCGGGGCACTGCACGACACCGGGTGCACGTCGGCGAACTCCCCACCATACAGACGTCGCAGAATCACTCACCAGCGGCCAAAGATCCTTCTCCTCCCGATCCACCGGGTCCTCCACCCGAACACGCACAACCGCCACCGCCCCCCTCGCACACCGCTCGATCACCGGCCCGTACTTCGCCCACAGCCTCTCGAGCCCCCCCCCCGCATCCCGGTGCACGACCCGCAGGCCGACCGCGATCCTGCCCGGGCGGCGCGCGACGAGCCGCGCGACCGCCCGGAAGAGCGCGTGGTCCGCCGCGACGAGCGACGGGGCGTCCCCGACTGACACGCGCTCGAGCAGCGGGCACAGCGCATCGTGGCGCGCGAGCGCGTGGAGGGGCGCGTCCGCTTCCCGGCCGAAGCCCTGCAGGCGGAGGGCGCGCAGGAGCGGGAGCGCCGCGAGGAGCGCGCGCCAGGGCGCGGCGTGGAGCACGAGGGCGTAGGTGAGGTCGAGGACGAGCGTCGTCAGCGGGAGGCGGGCGGTGATGTGCCCGGCCTTGCGCACGCAGGGGGACAGGAGGTCGTTGAAGATGCGATCGAGCTTGTACTGCCGGAGCCAAAATTGGCGGTCGCGCGAGTAGTCCGAGCCGGACTTGTCGAGGGCAATGTCTACCCTTGGGCGTGCGGTGCTACCCATGGGGCTCGCTTCTGCGTGTTCTGCCGTTTGTGACAGGCGGAGCGCGTGGGAGTCCAGGGTGGAAGAGAGGAGGATGGTGTCCAGCTTGCGGAGGGCGGGGTGTGCGTCGTGGAGGTTGAGGGAGGTGGAAGGTGGAAGCATGTCAGCGAGGGTGTAATAGAAGGGGTCCATGATGCCGCTATTGCTGAGGGCGCAGGCGATGTCGTCGGTTACGCCGAGCTCAACTAAGGCTGGGAGATTGAGGTGCGCGAGGAAGGCCGCGTGGAGCCGATCCTCGTGGCGGAGCCAGAGGTGTTCGAGACGTGGAAAAGTGACGATCGGGCCTTCCGCGTTCCCATCGTTGTCAAAGTCGTTCAACAGCGAGTCACGGAGGAAGCCGTCCATCTTGAGCTGACGGAGGTTTGTACATAGAAACATGAAGTCGAAGACGTACTGTACATATGATACTTACCTTACACACATCTCAACCGGCTGCCCTCCGCAAGGGGCCCATCCTAGGCTAGCGCGGGTATCGCCCCCGCATCTCTCCCGCCCCCCGGGGCATCTGTGTAGTTGATGTCTGCCCCCCGAGTCGTGAACCCAGCCTGATCGCGTAGATTTGGACTTTGTACTGTACGCCTACCATAGGGCTCTGCCCTCGAGGGCGTTAAACGAGGACGACAAAAAATAAATAAAAAATAAAAAAAGTCGAAGACGTGCTGCCACGTGAAAGGCCACTCCCCGTCGGAACCTTGATCATATATGTTCCTCAGCTCCAGAGTCTCCAATCGGGCGTAGAGATCGGGGTTCATAGGAGGGGACAAGCCGTCGACTGAAAGTGCTGTGATCTCTGGTAGACGTTCGATCTGGAGGTCGTCGAGAATGAAGGGGAGCCCAACGTCGTAGGTGCTCTCGGTGACGTCGAAGAAGGAAACTGAAAGATCGACCTGGAAGTCCACCCACTGGAACACTTGCATTTCACTCCACTCCGGGTCGTTAGACTCGTAGAGCATTGTGAGCGACCGTAGTCGAGAAGCGTGTTCGGGCAGGAGCTCTAGGAGCTCGTCCGGCGGGTCCATGTCGGCTTTGCAGTGGATGTACAAGTCGATTGCTCGTTTCTTCATTCGCCGGACACGGGAGAGACATATCCTAGGCCAATCCATGTTCCCGCCGACGGAGACGGATGACCAGAGACTGGAGATTTCTTGAGCGATGTCGTACCAACCTCTGGAGACGAGGAGGATGTTCATCCAGTCAGAGGTGTGTAGCGGCGTACGGCGGACATATTTGAGATCCCCTGCGTGAACGAGTGGCGACATCGCGTAGTGGATCGTGAAGACCTCGGTGAGAAGTTCGACGGGGAGGGGGCCGATTCCCGTGGAAGGGTACCGAGCGTCCATGGTACGGATTTGGTGGAGAAGGGAGAGACCCCGAAGCGTGAAGGAGACTCGTGGATAGAGGAGGAGATCGCAACGACCGATGACCCTGAGTTCATTCGTCGCACTTAGTGCAGTATTCGCAGGCGACAAGGGGTACGACTCACTGTTTGAACAGATGTCGGGGCCGATGATACACTTTCCGTTTCTAGGTCGTCCGTGTCAAGGACAGATACGAGGACTCGTTCAACGTGTACCAGACATGAGTGAACGTCGGTAAGAGCTTGTCACAGAGGGGGCAGATGAGAGGGTCACCGGGGCGCGAGTGCAATGAGGGAGGTATGTATGGTGATCCCGGGCATGTTCGTGGGTGGACAGATATGAGGGAGGCGGCAGCGCTATGAGTTCATGAGAAAGCTGGTCGCGACGAAGGCTGTAAGACAAAGGACGGCGGCGGGAGAAGGACTCACAATAGCCAGGATGTTGATCGTCGGCGAGCATTGCAGGCCAATGCGCCCGTGAAGCGCGTCGGCGCGTCTGCACCCCACCTCTTCCGGAACGACCATGATCGCGCCAATCCTCCTCTCCATCTCCGCTCACTGCTCCGCGTTCCGTCGCACATATCTCGGGACCACTCTGCTCTCCTGAGAACGCCAAACCTGCCTCGACGACTCGTCGCATCGCTGCAACCTCAACCGCATGCTGGAGCTTTCCTCTAACTCCACCCGGCCGGTGCGTTTCGAGTCGTGTAGAGAGCCGTCCGTCGTTCTTATCTTGCACGTTTAGTAGCATGGAACTCGGACCTCACCGCGATAACGCCGGAGAGACGATGAACGGGAGACTCGAGAAGCGGGAGAGGGAGCTCAGCGGCGAGAGAATCCCCATTCATACCCTCCCCCTCGAAGTTCTCCACAACGTCTTCAGCTGCGTCTATGCTGCCTCACAGATCACCCCATCCCACCTCGGCGCTGGTCTCCCCCGAGACAGCTTTGTGCGCCCCACGAAGACGACTCACACCGCATGGACCACTCTCCTGGCAGTATGCAGCCTTTGGCGCAGGTTCATTTGCTCGACACGCGAGTACTGGCGTTGCATTCACCTCCATTCCCCGCGCACCGACTGGCTCAAGCTCTGCCTCGAGCGTGCCAAGGCCACCAGCCCCTGCCTCGATATCTACCTCCATGGCATCAACGGCCCCAGCGCGCCATCCACCCTCAACATCCTTCGCCAACACTCTCAATATCTATGCACTTTGTCGCACGACGAGATGGGCATGGAATGGGCGCGTGCGCTTCGTGAGTTCTTGTCCAGCGACCCGCCTCTCCGCACTCTTACGATCTCCTGTGTGCGATGGCTCAACCCCATCGCCTTCGACATCCCCTCCTTCGTCCATCTGCGTACTCTCGTCCTTCGCTACGTGGATCCCATTGTGGACCAGTCGCTGTATGCGCAGTTGGAACACCTGGACCTCTCTGTGGCTCCATGGACGTCTGGTTGGAATGATCTCCACGAGATCCTATCGACGTGCACTAGCCTGGTTACACTCTCCCTCCGCTCGTGCCTCAACCACCTCGACAGCATCCCTCTCTCCACTGGCTTGCAGCCAGTCACCCTTCCACGTCTCCGCAGCCTGCGTCTCGACCACCCTACGGACATCCACAAGCAGCTGCTCTCATTCCTCCGTCTTCCAAGCATTGTGCATATCCACATCACGGAAGACCTCATGGGAGTTATCAACTCGGGCACATACCGCGGCTTCTCCTCCATCCTCTCCGCCTGCGATGAACAAGGCCTCCCCGCCATCTTCCCCTTCCTCAAGGACACTTCCACTATCGAACTCTCCACTCTCAACCAGTTCCTCTACACCTTCAAAGCGTCCCCCCGCGCCCCCGTGAGCTCCACGGACGACTGCGCCTGCACCCTCATCCTCGCGACCGAGCACGACTTCAAGGGCGTGTTCCAACGCAGCGCGTCCCAATGCGTGCGCGACGTCGCGTACATGCTCCCCGGCGCGCGTGTCACCGCGGTCCACCTGTCGCTCGCATTCCAGGACATGACCTCGGCCGACTTCGCCGCGTTTTTCCGGGGGTTCCCGCACCTCACCGACCTGCGCCTGGCGGGGCAGGGGTCGCTCGCGCCCGCGCTGGAAGCGCTGATGTCATCCCCCGCTGACGACTCTGGCGAAGACAGCGAAGCAAACGCGGGGGCCGGTGTCCGGTCGTCGATATTCTGCCCCGGGCTGCAACGTCTCGTCATTGGGACTCCGTGCAAAGGCGAGAACGCTCTGCTCGTGGCCCTTGTGGACGTGCTCGAATGGCGCACCGCCCGCGACGCACCGCTCCAGACGCTCAAGATGACGCTGATGTACAGCGACGAAGACGCCTTCCACGGCGCGCAGACGCGGTTCCTGCCTTCTCTCGAGGCGTCTGTCGTCGGGACGGTGACATGGGAGTACGTGGAGTACGTGGACAGCTTCACGCGTCAGATTTGGGGGATCTGAGGAGATGCGAGGGTGAGTCTCCGTTGTATGTTTTGCTGTTTTCTTCTTCTGACGCGACCGCATCAGGACGATACCGGATGTCGTTCTCTTCAATCTCTACCTGCACCGACTGCGACAAGATCATCATGCAAAAAGGCTCCGTGCCCCGTCCGGCTTGGTCCTCCCCTCAACATCAATCGCAGTTTGTATCACTCAAATGCCTGCAAACATTGCGTTAGCCACCTCGACTCGAATCAGTCCCGATATCGCCCGCTCACCCCACGAATTGCATTCGCGAACTTGAACCAGCGGCCACAGCTCAACTCCGATCCTATCGTGCCTCAGTCCCGCTGACACGTGATCGAACACAACACTCCCCACCAACCGCGCCACCCGTGGCCCGTATTCCGCCTGCAGCTTCGCGAGCTCCTTCGCGCAGCCCACAAACCCGACCTGGAGCTCCTCGACCCGCGCCGCCCCCCGCGCGTCACGCCACTCGAGCATCTCCGCGAGCGCCGCAAACGACTTCACGCCTCCCGTGACCACCGCCTGCGGGCCTCCGATGCGCAAGCGGGACAGTAGCGGGCACATCACGGGCCCTCTGCCGTCGCCCGCCGCTGCCCCCTGCGGGCGCCCGTCGGACGCGAGGGCGCGAAGCACGGCGCCGCAGCCCGTGAAGCCGGCGACGTGCAGCGCGGCGAAGAGCGCGCTCCACGGCTGGCCCCCGTCGGCGTCGGCGCGCCCGTAGGTGACATCGAGCGTGAGCGCGGCGATGGGCAAGCCTGCGACGACGGGCGCGACGCCGCGCAGGGTGCCGGGGAGAAGCCGGTAGAAGTACTCCTCGAATGAGTAGTGATCCTCGTACAGCTCGAGGTGCACGTGCGGGAGGGACCGCAGTACGTGAATAAGAATTGGTACCGTTCGCTGAAGTTTGAACGCACAACCATTTCCCCAGGGCAAATACGGGGCACTTGAAGCATAGCAGGTGGCCCCAACTGGCGCCGAAGATCAGCAGACAACTAAAATACCACGGTCGAACGTGGAGTCGAACATGCACACCTAGAGACGTCAAGGCACTGTACTCACTCCGCCATCTTTGCATTATAATGGACGGTATTCAATATCCTCAGTGCTTGGATCAAGCTTGGATCATCATCATGGATCGGTTTGCGGCGTTGCCAGATCTTCGACGGTAAAGAGTGTCTTTGTCGAGGTACGATCAATGTCCCCCAGCACGAGTTTCGTGAGGCTGAAGCTCTCTCTTTGCGCCTCACGGTCCAGGAATATAGCACTGTGATGGACATTTGGGCAGAACGGGTGGCTAATCGCGCTGGTTATCGAACTTGAACGGGGTGATCGCCCCGCTGGCATCGCAGATCACGCACGAGCGCGTGCAGCGTTCGCGTGAGGAAAGAACAGAAAGCGACTGTATAAGTAATGTCCGAGTCGTACGGTACACGTCAATGTTGTAGAAGTCCAATCGCGCGCCCGCGGCACCGCAGCTTGACCGCAGCCTCGCCCTCCAAACCACTCCACCCGACCCTCACTCAGTCGTTATACCGCAGATGCGCCCGCTCCTCCTCGTCGCCCTGCTGCATCTGGAGCGGACGGGCGCCCACGGGCGCGTACCGGCCCGGCGCACCCTGGCTCTGCGAGCGCATGCACATCGTGAGCGTGAGGCCGAGGAGGACGAGACCGACGGCGAGGTTCGCGCCGAGGAGCGCGAGCGCGATTGTGCCGTACTTTTTGCCCCAGCTGTCGGTGCTCCCGGACGCGGACGAGGCGGATTCGTCGAGGGCGCCGGCGGCGGAGGCGGAGGAGGCGTCGGGGGAGGAGGCGGAGGACGAGGCGTCGAGCTTGGCGAGCGTCGCGGGGTCGCTGGCGGGCGGGAGCAGCGCGAGGGCGGCGGTCCGGTTCGCGACGAACTCGGCTTGCATCGTAGAGGCGTCGGTGGTGGGGAGCAGCTGGACGAAGGGGCCCTGGCCGTCGAAGGTCGTGTTCGGCTGGTAGTTGCCATAGTTGTACCTGTGGATGGAAGGGAAGAAGGGACGGTCAGGTGATGGGCAGGTGACGCGACACCGGGGGATCGACGTACGAGGCGTATACGTTGCGGAGGAAAGAGTCCCCTAGGATGAGGTCGAAGCCGACGAACTCGGTGGGGTCGAGAGTCAGTGCTTGGAATGAGCCAAAGCATCCCGTGAAGTTGCCGGAGGGGAAGGCAAGGACCTGGGTGAATGTCAAGTCGAGCGGATGCACCGGGATGTCCTGGCCGCTAGCGAAGCATCGTCAGCACCTAATTCACAGCGCTTGGAGAGGACGACACACCCAAAGGTGAACACCACGGTCGGCGCCGCATCACAAGGCACCACCCAACCGACTTCGGGGTCGTAAAGCGCACCCGGGAGAGACTCGTAGATCGCGTTCACAGCGGCAATCGGCATTTGCGGGAGGGAGAAGCCGGTGTCGAGCACTGCAGCGACCTTTCCAGTGGGAACTCCAGGTACCCGCGAGGCATTGAAGGCGAACGGCGTGCCATCGACCGTCAAGCCATCCATGGCAAGGCTCCAGTGCTGAGGAGTAAGGCTGGGGAGCATCGGAGCTGACGTGATGTTCTGGAATGCATCGTCATGTTCGGAGATCAGGAATACACCTTCGGCAACGTTGTTAGGATCGGGGGACACCCGGGCGAGCTGCACGTCGAAGAAGTTGGGGGTCGTAGGGTCGAGAGCAAAGAGGTTGGTGATCGGCGAGCGCGCGAGAGCGTCGGCCGCTTCCGTGCCCCAGTTTTCCTGCACGACAGGGTAAATGACTGCAGTGTCGAACGCCATGCCAAGGATGCCGTCGAACGTGGAAGGCATGTCCTTGATCTCGACGGCGTTGACGAAAGCTGAGAGGTCGTGGTGAGGATAGCAGCACTGAGTGGACGAATAGCCTATGCGCTCACCTTGGTTGGGAACGGAGAAGTCGCCGATAGTCATATCGGCAAACGAAAGCCAGCCCGATGCGCTGCCCTTCCCATAACTCTCGGTGATGTTGAGATCAGTTGTATTGGTGAACTGCACGTTGCGCCCGGTGGTGTTCAACCAGAGGTCGCTTGATCCGGTATCGAGTTGGACAATGAAGGCTAAGGACGCGCATAAGGATGATAGTATAAACGGAGCGGAGATTGCCGCCTTGTGTCTCACCTTCACCACCGAGAGTAATGTTGACGGTGTACTGGAGCAATGACGGATGATCAGAAGGTGCGAAAACAGTAACACAACTTGATGACGCTCACCATGTTGTTATCGTTGGTGGAGACTACATCGCCCATGGAGGTGGCGGAGGTGGCGACATATCCTGCGGCAGAAGTGGAGATACGGAAGCCGGAGGAAGCAGCGCGAACGGTGTTCGCGTAAAGAAAAACGGAGAGTAGAACATTGAATGTCAACATGATTAAGGAAGAAAGAGTAGGGTGGGGGAAGACGAGGGACACTGGAGCTGCTGTTCATATATCTTGGCATCACTGTGAGTGATCCATCGACATCAGCAAACACGGCAATCGAAGATTCGGAGACAAGCTGTCCCGGAGTCCCTCGCGCCATCAGCATGGGGCGGTGGCAGACGGAGACCAGGGCGGGTTTCGTTGTGGTGCGACAACCTGGAAAAGAGCAATTCAGGACCTCGGACGGCGACAACAACGCGCCGTTATGCCTGTGCGCACATGGCCGTTTCCATCTGGGGGCGTCTCAGCCAGGCTGGAGACATCGTGGTGCCATGCGAACGGAGAGTGGATGGCGGGTATCCAACACGTGTGGCGGCAATGTAAAGTCCAAGTCTTTGAACCACACGCAGCAAGAGACATCAAGATGTGGAATGTCATGTGTGCGAGTGGAGCGGGCGTGGTTGGGCTTACCGCGATATATATAGAGCAGTAAGCCCGTGTCCGATCGGAGCCATAGCCTAGTATCGTGAGCGTACGTACTTAGGCCCTGTAAGGCATGAATGGTCGGGTAGGACGAAGGAGACAGATGACGGCCGGTTTCCGGAGCCGTAGCCTATCGGGAGCGTAGAAGTTGTGAGGGGCATGAACGATAGGGTGTAGGGTTCGACTACATATTCCAGGCCGTCTGTAACATATGTTACTAACAAACCGAGGCATGAATGGTCGGGTAGGACGAAGGAGACAGATGACGGCCGGTTTCCGGAGCCGTAGCCTATCGGGAGCGTAGAAGTTGTGAGGGGCATGAACGATAGGGTGTAGGGTTCGACTACATATTCCAGGCCGTCTGTAACATATGTTACTAACAAACCGACCCTCAGACGCCATTTGTAACACGTGTAAGTAACATGAAACTAATTCGAAATGTAATGAAGGTCTAGTGCTGCGGAGAATAGCCCTACCAGTCCCCATCCTTAGTCAAATCGCTGTCGGAATCCTCATCATCGGACGTAGACAGCGAGATTCGTGCAGCAGCCACAGTAGAGACGCATCATGGCGCGCAGACGACACCAAGCGACCCCTCTGAGGGTATTCCAAGGAGATGGGGAGACCACAATTGCGACAAACACTCTTCAGGATAGCGGGAGCTTGCACAGGGCCCTTTGAAGAAACGTGTGATTTTCAGTGAAAGCACAAATATCTGAGCCACTAATGTGCAGTCAACTCTGGGCTCAGGAATCAACAAGGATGAGGGCGAGTGAGCGAGTGAGCGTAAGCGTGAGTCGCAGGAAGTCGTATAGAAGCAGATACGACGCGCCGCGGGGAGAGCGAGCGCGAAGGGAGGATGGATTGGAGGATCGCGCGAGTGCAAGGAGGACACCGCGGGGATAGACGCGAGAGATGGACGAGGTCGCGCACACGGGCGCTGGCGAAGGCGAGGGCGAATATGGGGGCGTGCGCGAAAGCGTGGACGTGAACGTGGGCGTGCGCGAAGTCGAAGCCGAAGGCGAGACTAGATGAGCACACTGCACGCGTAGATGGAGCGGGGATGTGAGCGCAGATAGACCGAGGCAGCATGAGCCGAAATGGGGGGCTCGCGAAGTGGATACGAGGATACGAAATAGAGCAAAAATAAAGCAGGAGAGAAGAATAAACATACGATATGAGGAGTGGGGTACCATCACGAGACAAGAACGTGTCGTCAGGCTGTGGAGGATGGGGATCGAGTGCGGGCAGGTGATGACTACGAGCGGGCGTGGGCCGCGCCACGGTGCGTCCGCGAGTGTCGCGTCGGGACTGTGGTGCTGGGGCGTTAATCCTGGAGTCCTCGCGGGCAGATCGCGACGGGTATGCGCAGCGGAATGGTCGAGATGTGCGAGGACGAGCGAGGACAAGGTGGGCGGCGGCGCGCAGGCGCTAGCGTAGTCGCGGTGCACCGTACAGCGGTCACGGCACGTGCGTATCACCACGTACAGAGCTTACCTGCAGCTGACTCGCCAAGGATAAGGATCGTGCCCCAGACGCTCCGGAGTCCGCCAGCATTCACGTAAACTCGGGGTGTGAAAGGGCAAAGCGGCGACAGGTGGACAAGCGCGGAAACATAAGGTAGTCGGGTTCCCAACGAGTGGGTATGAACATCCATCAGCCATGGACAACTACCCGATCCCGTTTCGCCTCGTTTTCCATGCAAATCAGCCTTCAGGCTGTGAACCAACTTGTTCAGTTGACCGGCGTATGAGGACGGCTCTGGGGTGCAATCGTGATCTTGGAGTGCTTGCGGACTGACCGCGAGAGGTTCGAGAGACGGAATGGGCGAAGTGCGCGAGGACAAAGGCCGAGCGCGGTCGAAGGTGTTGTGCTCGTACGTCTGCACCGTACGGCGATAGCGTGTGCGTGTCGGCGTCCGCAGCGTCATCGTGAGCCCCTGGGCTTCGAACCCCGCGACAGCCGCCTCGACGCGCGCGCGGCACTCGGTGGCAGTGCTGTAGCCCGTCGGTAACGCCCATACGAGGTGCCCGCGTTGCC